AACTGTACAATGATTTCACCACAAAGAGTTAAGGTAAACCAGTGTATGTGTTTGAAAGGCCCAAATGCTGGTTTCTCCCATTTTTCTTCCCTCCTGCCAATGAGGGTGTGTCAACGGCCGAGCCCAGGCCCTTGTGAGAAAAATACAACATCTGAGAAAAGGGGCAGACTCCACGCTGGACCGGAAAGGTCAGAGGTGGAGGGACACTGACCCGCGTGACAAACGCCCACAGCTCTAGGCAAGGGGACACCCACACCCTCACCCTCACCCACACCCTCACCTCCACCCTCACCCTCACCCTCACCTCCACCCTCACCCACACCCTCACCTCCACCCTCACCTCCACCCTCACCCTCACCCTCACCCTCACCCCCACCCCCACCCACACCCACACCCTCACCCTCACCCTCACCCACACCCACACCCGCACCCTCACCCTCACCCTCACCCACACCCTCACCCACACCCTCACCCTCACCCTCACCCACACCCTCACCCACACCCTCACCCACAACCTCACCCTCACCCTCACCTTCACCCTCACCCACACCCTCATCCACACCCTCACCCTCATCCTCACCCTCACCCCCATCCACACTCGCACCCGGGCTCTATTCTCCCGGGACACATCCCTGGCCAGGAACTGGCAGAGTTGAAACTGCGAACACCGTGCACCGTGTAAGCCTTGAACATCCTGCCAATTGCTCTCGGGAATATTTGGACTAATTTACATGGTTACCAGCAACATCCGGGCATGCTCTTTTTAAGCACCCGCTAGCGTGCTTAATATAGAGCCTTTTCTGTTCTATCTGCTCCGCTCCGAGCTAAAGATATTTATATCCGTGCTCCGAATGGCAAATCCCCACACGCGTGCCCTTCGCCATCTCACTGCGGAAGCCACACGCTCCTGACAAAGCGCACGCGCGCTCGCACACACACACTCACACACACTCACACATGCTCACACACACACTCACACACACTCACACATGCTCACACACACACATACATTCACACATGCTCACACACGCTCACACACACTCACACACGCTCACACATGCTCACATACGCATGCTCACACATGCACACACACAAACACATGCTCACAAGTGCACACACACACACACACACACACACACACAGAATCCTCTGCTGCTGAGCTGGACTTGCCACCAATCCCTCCTGAGGCAGCTCTGCAGCAGCCACTCCCGGGGAGAACTGGTGCCCCCTTACCTCCCCCCAGCTGCCCCCTCCCCAAGGGCTGGCACCTGCAAATGGGGGCCAGCCCTCCGAGTCCCCAGGGTGACGCAGCTTCGGGGCTGTGCGGGGCCTGCCCCCGGCTCAGTGTGAGCACCCATGCCGCCTTTGAGGTGACTGGAAAGGCGCCTCAGCAGTAGTCTCTGCGCACGCGCTTAACGGGCGGGGGAGGGGCGGTGATAGGAGGGGGCGAACCACAGCCCCCGCAGCCTGTCCCCCAGAGGCTGCCGCCTTCCCAAGGCCGACACTCAGTCAGGAGCCTGTCTGCAGGCCAGGCTGCATCCCTGCTCACCTGCCGCCAAGCAGGCTGCTCTGCCACCTGGTGGCCACACACCAGCGGCTCCCTGCTCCAGAGGGACGCCCGGAACCCCATTCTGAACAGAATGTTCCAGAAAACTGAACTACCGTTTCCCCGAAAATAAGACAGTGTCTTATATTAATTTTTGCTCCCAAAGATGCGCTAGGTCTTATTTCCAGGGGATGTCTTATTTTTCCATGAAGAAGAATACGGTGCACATTTATTGTTAAATGAGAATAAAGGAAATTTATTACCTGTGTACGGTACAGTAGTACGGTAGTTGTCAACACAAACCAGACAAACTGTGAATCCTACAGTATCAAGAATTTACTCATTTATTCAATGACAATCATGTCATCATCTTCTGGAACATCATCATCACAATCCAATTGCTGAATTTCCTGGTGAATTTCTTGTGACTTTCTTTCAGAATCAGGGGACCAAATCTCTCATGTTTAGCCTAGGGGGGGCTTATTTTCGGGGGATCCCTTATATTTCACTCAGAAGGAAGCCTGTAAGTAGGTCTTATTTTCGGAGGATGTCTTATTTTCGGGGAAACACGGTAGAAGACAGGACGGCGGGGCCACCACCTGGGCCCCATGTGTCGGTGGAACGCATTAGAAACTCTCAGTCAGGTTTCATGAGGAGTCCTAGCGGGTGTGGCTCAGTGGACAGAGCGGACTAACGGGTCCAGGTTCGATTCCGGTCAGGGCACAGGCCTGGGTGGCAGGCTTGGTCCTCAGTCTGGGCACCTGCAGGAGGCAGCCTGTCAATGAGTCTCCTCATCACTGATGTTTCTCTCTTGCTATCCCTCTCCCTTCCTCTCTGACATCAGTAAAATATTTTTTTTTTTTAATTCATGAGGAGCATTTCGCTGAACAAATTTATTGTCACGTATTTCGAGTTTACAGTTCAAAGAGTTTTGACCAACCAATGCAGACAAAAAGTTACTATCCCCCCATCATGCACAAATTCCCATCACCCCAAACCTCCCTCGTGACTGCAAATCGCCCCCGCCCCCGGCCTCCCTCAGGCACACCTGCCCTTCCTTGTGTGTGGGCTGCGCCAGGGTCTCATGCTGGGACCAGCCAGTGTCTGCTGTCTCCTGCTTCTCCCCGGGGCCCCTCCCTCCATCCCGGGGCCCCTCTCTCCATCCCGGGGGCCCCTCCCTCCATCCCGGGGGCCCCTCTCTCCATCCCGGGGCCCCTCTCTCCATCCCGGGGCCCCTCTCCATCCCTGGGGCCCCTCCCTCCATCCCGGGGGCCCCTCTCCATCCCGGGGCCCCTCCCTCCATCCCGGGGGGCCCTCTCTCCATCCCGGGGGGCCCCTCTCCATCCCCGGGGGCCCTCTCTCCATCCCCGGGCCCCTCTCCATCCCGGGGGCCGCGCTCGCCCCGGCAGGTTTGGTCTCTCTGCAGAGCCCTGAATTCCTTACTCCCGTCAAATAACAGAATGGACTTTCCCATCCAACGAAAGCAAAACCAACTCTCAGAACTACCAGTGCTCTGAATGTGTTTACAAAGTTACACACGTGGTTTATTTCAGTGTCTTGAGTAAGACTCATGTTAATTTTATTGGAAATTAAAAGTGACAGAGGAGATGCGCCTTCACTGACGTGCACTCGTGCGCACACCCTCCTCTGCCCGGCGCCCACACGTCCGGCCGCCTCGGCGATGCTATGCTTCCTTCAGGCCTGCGTATTCTTCAATGAACTCCCAAAGGCCCCTTGAAACCATGAGAAATACTGGTCAGGGATGAGCGAACGGACAGGAAGCGTAAGAGAAAATGTCACATGAACCTCTGTCTCGGGCACGTTCACTCACACACAGCCTGAGTCTTCGCAGCGCCCCTTCCCCTCAGCCTTCCGGGGGGACCCCCGGAGAGGCCCCCGCAGCCAGGAGAGGGGCGCCAGCAGACGCCATTTCCTTTCAGACCCCTTGGTTCTCTCTGCCGCCGTGGAAGGGCCTGCCTCCTCCTCCGGGGCTCCTGCGCTGGTGGAGCCGGACCCCTGTGCGGCCACTGGGCACCGCTCCAGCGCCTCCCGCCTCTCCCTGTGCCCGGACCCTTTGCAGCCAGGGAGGCCTTGGTGTGGAGCTGAGCGCTGAGGCGCGCAGAGGGCTTTTCTCCTCAGTGGACACGCCCCCGGGAGCTTTTCCCAGTCCTTCCTCTCCCGCCTGCCTCCAGGGCACATGGCCAGCGCCTGAGCCGTCATCCCCAGAGGCTCTGAGGAGAGCTGCTCTCAGAAAACTCGGAAGAAAGATGGAGAACTGGTGTTTGACACGCTGAGCCAGCCCACATCCGAGATGCCTGTGACCGCTGATACAGACGTGCCCGTTCACATCTAAGTCACCATGGTTTTCTGTGCTCCAGCCTCACCCAATCGTAAGGACGTTAACTATATAAAGTATTAACTTACCTGACAGATAATATAAACCAGGCATTTTGTCTTTCAATTAAAAGCTTTAGAGCAATGGATGTACAGAGTTTCCCAAAGATTTAATATCATAAGCACCTATAATTGAGGGGGGAAAGCCACCCACAGACACAAGTCTCCCTTCCTTCCGGAGCCTGTCCATGAGAATCAACCCTTGGCTCTTCAGCTTTTTCCAAAGAACTTATTTTTATATAGATGATAGGAACATATAGATAGTTAGCTAGATAGATAGACTGATAGATATAGAGATAGATGATAGGTAGGTAGGTAGGTAGATAGAGATGAGATAGATGATTACAGATAGATGATATAGATAGATGATAGATAGATGATAGATAGGTTATAGATAGACAGGTCGATTGATATAGATAGATATAGAGTAGATGATAGATGATAGATATAGATAGTAGATAGATATATAAATAGAGAGATGACAGATATAGATAGATAGATGGTTGGTAGATGATAGAGATAGATAGATAGATAGATAGAGATGATAGACAGGTTGATTGATATAGATAGATATAGAGTAGATGATAGATAGATAGAGATACATAGATGATTGGTAGATGAGATAGATAGATGATAAATAGATGATAGATATATATAGGTATAGATAGAAATAGATGACAGATAGATAGAGATGATAGATATAAATATAGATATAAATATAGATATAAATATAGATATAGATAGATAGATGATAAATAGATAGATGATAGATAGATATATATAGGTATAGACAGAAATAGATGAAAGATAGATAGATAGATAGAGATGATAGATATAAATATAGATATAGATAGATAGATGATAGAGAGATGCAGAGAGAGAGGTTTAAATCGTGGGCTGATCATCCCTAAGCATAGGAGGGGAGTGACATTTCCATGGAAAGTGAAGACTCGTGGCTATGAACACTGCACAAGCACTGTCGGTCCGATCTCACTGTAAACACGCGGTGTGGCGAACGCACGCCGGTGCCAGTGCGTTTCACGGCGGGCGTCAGACTTACTGCTGCTCCTCCACACTCGGCAGGCTCTTCCCCAGGCACTGCTTCACCTGGCTGTACGTATCCTGCCAAGACGGAAAGTCATCGGTCACATGCGCGGGCAATGACACTGCGTCCAAACAGCCTGCCGCCTCCCGATCGGACACAGCACTCTGCTTCCTACTGTGTGTCACGTAGAGCGAGACACACATGACAGGCACGGAGGTGTAGTCTGTGACACAGGAAATGGCTAGCAGGCACTCGGAAAGCTGTCCGAGGTGCCAGTCCATCGCATTTCCTGTAACCGTGTCGGCTCATTAAAAGTAATGGTGATGTGCGGAGGGTTAGAGAAGCAGTAAGTTCTGACACATTCACCTGTTCAGAAAGATTGTTTACTCCCTTAGCTTACGCTTCTCTGATGTGGAGCTAATATCTGTACAGCCAGCTATTCCTGGCATTGATAACAGAGAGTTACCATTGAGAAAGCTAATGACCTAGTACAAGAAGGCACTAGAGAAAAAAGGTTCTATTGAAAAGCATTGATTCACAAAAACTTACATTTATTTTCTTCTTTAAAATTATATTTGCTCTTTCTAATTTTATAGTTTCAGTCTGTAGGGGAAAATAATTATAAGAGAAAGATACCTGGTTAATAATATAATAATATCAATTAATATAATAAATATAAAACAATATAATAAAGTAGTTTCCCCATTTATGGAACAAAATGTGTTAGACTGTTATTCTGGTTTCAAAAATACAAATTGCACACCACTTAAAACGGATGAATGAAAAAGCATGACTGGGGCTATGGAGTAAGACAGAGCACAGCCCCTTAGGTAATAAGCTAGAGGAGGTGGAGATTGGTGTTGGAAAAAACAAGAGAATTTTAGGGAAATGTCAGAATAGAAGAGTCCCTCACTTTTCAGAACTAATAATAGAATTCGTTAGGGTGACTGGATATAATATAAAAATACAATATCAACAAGTCACACACACACCAGCAATAACTGTTTGTAAACTGTAAGGTAACATTTGCTGAAGTTTTCATACACAACACTAACAGATGACAAAGTCACAAAAATAAACAACAACAAATATTTAAAAGCAATGCATAAAATTAACATAAAATGATCCTTGATGGGAATGTTAACATTATAAAGCTGTCACCTGGTCCCAAATCCTATATATTATAATTAAAGCCTAATATGCTAAGTGTCCAGTTGTCCAGTCATCCACTCAACCAATCAAAGCGTAATATGCTAATGATATGCTAAGGCCACTCAACTACTCATTATGACATGCACTGACCACCAGATACGTCAACCAGTCGACCAGTCACTATGACATGCACTGACCACCAGGAGGCAGATGCTCGGACTGGTAGGTTAGCTAGGGTCTGGCCAATCAGGACTGAGCAAGACAGGCTGGACACGCCCTGGAGCCCTCCAGTGGTCCCTCCCCAGTTGGCCAACCTCCCGCATCCCTCCCCTGCCCTGATCATGCACCGGTGAGGTCCCTTGGCCTGCTCTGTGCCCTCTCGCAATCCGGGACCCCTTTGGGGATGTCAGAGAACCGGTTTCGGCCCCATCCCTCAGGCCAGCTCGAGGGACTTCACCGGTGCAGGAATTAGGGCCTCTAGTGAATCTATAAATTCCTTGGAAACCCAATGAAGATGCCAAGAGTACTATTATTGAGACTAAAAATGTAGTTAACGCTATGAACTAAAATATCCAACATAACTGAGAGCAAATAATGATGAGCAGGGGTTGTAACAACTTGCTCTACCAGATATCCAGCTTGAAAAGGATTGGCAGTTACATCAGCCAGGCTGCACAGTATGCAATGAAGACCCTGGGCTGCATTTAAACCCTCACCTCTACCCACTCCCTGTGCCCCGAGTCAAGTTACATAGCCTATCTGTGCCTTGGTTTCCTCACCAGGAAAGGAAGTTAACAGCAGCAGCTGTCTCTTACTATCTCTACGGCTGCTGGAAATTAAATGAAATGCATTTTTAAATGTTTGCAGCAGTATCTGGTGCATTATTTATCGTTGGTGCATTTAGTTATTTTTCATTGAGTTGGAAACAATGTATTTTATATGCAGAACCAGAAATCAATGACTTATAGGACAATACATGCAATTTTATTTATCTGCCATTGTTTGAATTAAGGAGCCAAGTATAAATAATAAAAAAAAAACTAATATAAGTTCATGATATGGATTCATTATAGGGCATCTTCTATTTCATTGATTCAACCCATTTAAAGAGATGTTAATTATGAAAAAAGAGTTTATATGATTTTGGCATGTTTATAATATGTAGAGATATAACTTTTATTTTCAACTATAAATTAGTGTCTGTTCTCAGGACATTATTTAGTTTTTATAAGAAAAGAGAAGAATCTAAAGGAAAATACAGAAGGAGATCTGAACATATGATTAAGAGAGAGAGAGAAATCAAAGCCAGTTTGAACTACTACCAACTTCCCATATATTTTATATTCTGCTTGAAAAGAAGAAAAAGTGGTGCTAGCAAAATATATATAACCACAATAAGAAAGAATAATCCCATCCTATCTAATAAAAGAGTAATATGCAAATTGACCATCACTCCAACACACAAGATGGCCACCCCACTATGGTCAAAGATGGCCAGCAGGGAAGGGCAATGGGAAGGATCATGCCTGCAGAGGAGGGCAGTTGAGGGTGACCAGGCCAGCAGGGGAGGGCAGTTAGGGGCAATCAGGCTGGCAGAGGAGCAGTTAGGTGTTGATGAGGCTAGCAGGGGAGTGGTTATGGGGTGATCAGGCTAGCAGCCAGGCAAGCAGTTGAGAGCCAACAGTCCTGGATTGTGAGAGGGATGTCCAAGGGGCCCAGTTTGGAGAGGGCATAGGCTGTGCTGAGGGACACTGCCCCCCCCAGCACACAAACTTCATGCACCGGGCCTCTTGTGTCAATTACAAACTCTGTAACTAGAGGTTAAATTGAGTCAGATTTTGCCCAAATAAAAGTGAGGAGGTAACATAGGCACCATAGCATTTTAAAACAGACTATCATGTACTATTCGTCAACAAAGCTGATACAGTCGTTGTAAAAAACTGCTTTTAACTCAGTGGACTCTCCAGTGGCCGTCACTCAGTCCTCTCTGCCAGCAGAACTGCACAACCAGCTCAAAGTCTAACTCTGAGGCCGTGTGTCGCAGCAATTCCAGGGGCTGGAGCCCCCAAAGGGGGCTTGAACCCAACTTTGTCACCTCTACCCGGTTTCATGGTGGGCGGGCCACCTAACTGCTCTGAGCCACACTTACACTGCCTAGTACATACTCGACACTAAATGATGACCGTTAATTCTATAACAAGCATTTTCTATGCAAAATACTAAATTTTCAACACACCTGAAAGAGATTTGACCCCTAACTGAACTCTACATAATTTTTTGTCTCCTTCATTTTGTTTCGTTTGTTTAGATCTCTTAATCATTCTAAGCCTTTCTTCATCGTTGGCTACAAATGTCTATATGTATAAGACCTTAAGCTGCGAGAACCACCGGATGACCAGAATAACCCGTCCCTATGCCGTGCACTGCAGGGGACGGGACAGCCAGCCAACCTCCCGCAGCCCCTCTCCCCAGCCAGCCTGGCCGCGATGGGCCCCGAACGGAGAAGGGCTTGCCAGACCCCACCTGAGCACAAATTCGTGCACCGGGCCTCTAGTTTTGCAATAAAAATATATTTGCACCAATGTTATGTAATTGTTTATCCTGTTGCAAATGAGATCACTTCACGTGTTTGCTATGGTCGGCAGGAGGAAGAACAATGCGGACATGGGAGTCGGTCGGTCCCCTACCTCGATGCTCTTGACCCTGCTCTCTATGACTTGTAAAGTCCCCGTGTGGACCAGAGCGGTTTTCATCTCTCGCTCCAGATCTCGGATCTCGTCCAGCTTCTGGAGGACTTCGCATCTCTTCCTCTCCACCTTGTCGATGAGCGTGAGCTGCTCCTCCCCCTCCCTCACTTCTTTCTCAGAAGATTCTGGAGATGTTTTTTAAAAGCAAAGCGTTACTGTGTTTAACAGCATGGCCTTAGAGATAGTATATTATGTACTATTAACAACATTATGTCTTACATCGCTAATGTGTTACAGCTATAAGTTGTAACGTAGCCCAAACTCCAAGCACGCCAACAAGCATTATGGGATTGAGGAATGCTTCTTGAGCGGCTCATGTGGGCAGCTAAGACCGCGTGGGGGACACAGAGGGTCTTAGCCAGAGGGGAGTGACCACACTGAGACTAGACAGGCAGGCAGGAGTAAAGCAAGTGAAAGAGGAGCGGGGCCTGGCACTGTCACTGAAAGGGTTACCCCTGGGGCGGGCCGAGCACAGGGCGTAACATCGAGAGAGGATGCTAGGAAGGGGGGACAGACAGACAGACAGCAGGGGAAGCACTGCCCTGGGGGACAGACAGACAGACAGACAGACAGCAGGGGAAGCACTGCCCTGGGGGACAGACAGACAGACAGCAGGGGAAGCACTGCCCTGGGGGACAGACAGACAGACAGCAGGGGAAGCACTGCCCTGGGGGACAGACAGACAGACAGACAGACAGCAGGGGAAGCACTGCCCTGGGGGACAGACAGACAGACAGACAGCAGGGGAAGCACTGCCCTGGGGGACAGACAGACAGACAGACAAGGTGAAACAATGGGCTCCCAGTGTCTTGGTCAAACCTGACCTGTCTCTCACACAAGGTCCCACTGAGCCCAGAACCCACACAAGCTCAGAGCAGAGGAACGGGCCGGGTTCCGTGTCCGGGGACAGGAGGCTCTCGGTCAGCCCGCCCGTGTCCAGGCGTCTCGGCGGCCGCGCGGCCTGAGCCAGGAGGTCACAGCTCTGATCCCGGTGAGGGCACAGGCCCGCGTCGCAGGCTCCATCCCCAGCAGGGGGCATGCAGGAGGCAGCTGATCACTGATTCTCTCGTCATTGATGTTTCTAGTTCTCTCTGAATCAGTAAAAATGTATGTAAAAAGACACTCCGAATAAAATTAAACTCACTGTGTTTCTAAAGAACTCGATGGGAAAATTAGTAAAACGTGATCACTTCTCTGAAAAACAAAAAAAAATACCCTTTGACATGAGGAACGGGGGAGGCCCTGGCGAGCGGGCCAGGACGGGGACCTGCAGGGAGGGGGGGGGGCCTGCAGGGAGGAGGGGGGCCTGCAGGGAGGAGGGGGGGCCTGCAGGGAGGAGGGGGGCCTGCAGGGAGGAGGGGGCGCGCTGGGAAGAGCACACGGGGCTCACCTGCCCGCTCCTGCGCGCACTGCAGCTGCCGCTGCTCCTCGGCCAGCTCGCCCCTGAGCCTGCGGCGAGGACAACACAGGGCGGTTAGAGCCCGCCCTGCCCTCTGCCTTCTCCTATTTCGTGTCCTTTTTAAAACTGAGAAATAAACACTGATCTGTTTTATTTGCCACCAAAGGGGCGTTCGGGGTGAGCGTGTGCGCCACCGCTGACGACACCAGAGAGTGTTGTGCAATGGTTTGACACCTCGGGCGGGCGCTGGCTGTGTTTGCAGGATTCTGGCTTCCGGAAGGCTGCCGTCTCCCGTCTCTGACGCCCCTGGTGTGTTGAGCTTCTCTGTTTCCTGTTTTGTTTTCCTGAGGGAATTCTGGGAGTCGGATCTGCCTGTTTTTTAACAATCATTTACGAGTCATTTCCTCAGAAAGACTAGCTCCAGAGGTGTTTCGGGTCAAAGACACCGCCGGGTCCGTCAGGGGGACTGCCTTTGCCGTTCTCGCCCATCCACTGCCTCCTCGGGCCCCAGAGGAGACTGAGAACCGAAGCGACAGCCGTCCCCGGCCAGGCCAGGCCCTCGACGTCCTGGGCGCTCGGGGCGGCTTGAGAAGAGGCCTGTCCACCTGGGGACGCAGGAAGGACATAACATACACCAGCCATGTGCTGTGGACACTGTAAACAGCGAGAGTAATGTGCGTGCCATGTGTGTAAAGAATGTAAACAGTGAGGGTAATGTGTCCTGTGTGTAAACGGTGAGAGTAACATATATGTGTCATGTGTGTGGTACTATAAAACTATGTGGCGTAAACTGTGAGAGTAACGCATGTCACATGTGACAGTGTGACATGTGCTGTGTGTGTGAGCTGTGAGAACATGTGTCACATGTGTAAGCCATGAGGGTGACATGCATGTCATGTGTGTTGACAGTGTGAAATGTGAGCGTAGTGTAAATGTCACAGGTGTAAACACTGTAAACTGTGAGTCACATGTGTAATCTGTGAGAGTAACCTACGTGCCGTGTGTGTAAACACTGTAAACTATGGTGGTAACATGTGTGTCATGTGTGTGAACACTGAGCTATGATGGTAACATGTGTCACATGTGTGAGCACTGTAAACGGTGATGGTAACGTGTCACGTGCGAACACTGTAAACTATGATAGTAACAAACATGTCACGTGTGGACACTATAAACTATGGCGGTGACACGTGGGTCACGTGTGTGCGCACTGTAAGCGGTGAGAGCCCGCGGGGAGCGGCGGCGGCCTCACCTGTCGTTGCGCTCCAGGGCCGCGTTGGTGGCCGCCATGAGCGCCCTCAGCTCCTCGCGGGCCTGGGTGACGTCCACCGTCTTCACCGAGCTGCTCGCCAGCCCCCGGGCCTCCTCCATCAGCGTCTGCGCGGACACACGGGAGGGTGTCCCTTTCCTGGCTGGTCCGGAGCAACCGGGCTGCCCTGAGCCCTGACATCAATCCCAGGGGAGATGGCCCAGCAGGCGGGGCTCGGGGTCCGGGGTGATTCCCGGGCAGGGCACAGGCCCGGTTGCAGGCCTGATCCCCAGCGGGGGGCCTGCAGTACTGACGTTTCTCTCCCCCTCTCCCTTTTCCCTGGAATCGGTATCACATACAGTTGTTTGGGTTGTGGGCACGGATGGGACTTCTGGGCTCCAGGTGTCCCCGCTGCTGGAGGACGAGGCGGAAAGGGCTCCGGAGGCTGTGTGCGGAGCTTACCTGGTACGTGGCCGTGGGCTGCGCGCTCAGCAGGATGGCCATGTAGAGCTCGTATTCATCCTACAGGGAGCGGGGGGAGCGAGGCTGCTCTGAGCTACAGCACAGCGTGCGGGATTGCAGGCACAAGTAACATGGAGGTTATTTGTAAAAAATACGAACATTTTAGCGTTCTACCAAACGAGGCACACACTGACTGCACACGCCCTCCCCGTCCGTGCAGCCTGAGTGTGAGCCATCGTCCCCTTAGGACAGGGTCACAGACTGCCTGCAGGCGTCCATGCGGGACCTCCTCCACACGGAAGCCCCTGGTGGGTCCGGCTGGCCGGCGGGAGGCCAGCTGTCGGGGCGGGGCGTGCCCTGCCGGCCGGGGTGGGCACCGAGGGCCGCCTTAGGCACTCAGTGCCGCTCACGGCCTGGAGGCGGGGCTGTGGCAGCCACCTCTGCGTGGCCTGGCCACCGCGGGCACACGCCTGGGGCCCGGCAGGCTTACCCAGGCCCCCCTGAAGGGTCACAGGGCACAGGCGTGTTCACAGCCACATGGAGGGGGCGCTCCAGGGAGAGACGGGGTGAGTGCTCTCACCTTCACCTCTCTCAGGATGCCGCCGAACAGCAGGGAGCTGCTGCAGATGTCCTCAAAGGCCCGGCTGCACACCTCCAGCCGGTGCAGCTCCTGCGGGTCACACTCGCACACCGCCTGGAGCTCCTGGGGAGCGGGCACTCAGCGCCTCTGCCCACCTCCCCCCGCCTCCCGACCCGCTCAGGCCTCCTGCTCCCCTCCCCTCCCCTCCCCTCCCCTCCGGCCCCTCAGGCCTCCTGCTCCCCTCCCCTCCGGCCCCTCAGGCCTCCTGCTCCCCTCCCCTCCCCTCCCCTCCCCTCCCCTCCCCTCTGGCCCCTCAGGCCTCCTGCTCCCCTCCCCTCCCCTCCCCTCCCCTCCGGCCCCTCAGGCCTCCTGCTCCCCTCCCCTCCCCTCCCCTCCGCTCCGGCCCCTCAGGCCTCCTGCTCCCCTCCCCTCCGGCCACCTCTGGGGCTGGTCAGAGGAATCAGAGCTGGGCTTGCATCAGAGGGTGACTGACAGCTCCCACGTTCAAGGATCAGCCAGGGCCACACCATGGTGCACCTGACGCCCTCTAACGGGAGCTGAGAACCTTCCGTTACCTGTCACCTGCCTGTCAGCCGCCCCGCCTGTCGGTCACCGGCTCCACCCGGTGAGGTCCCGGGCGGGCGGGCAGCGGCCACACTGCGGGGTGCCCCGCGCCCTCACCTGCTCCAGCTTGCTCTCGAGGCGCCGGGCGGCCCGGGCGCCGGTGAAGGCCGGCTGGCGGAGGTCCTGCGTGGCCAGCACGCGGCGCTGGAAGTGCAGGAACTTGGCGAGCCGGTCGGCGCGGGTGAGGCCGGCCAGGTAGGCGGTGAGGCGTTGGTACCGGTCGGGGCCCGGGGGCAGCGCGCACTGGCGGCTGGACCGCGCGGCCTGGGGCCGCAGCACCCACACCTCCGGCCAGGTGAGCTCCTCCCGCGGGCGCGGCGGGCCCAGGCCCTCCTCCTCCTCCTCCTCCTCCTCCTCCTCCGCGGGGGGCGCGGCGGCCGGCGGGTGCAGGTACCGGCAGAGCGGGGTGCCCGGGGCCTCGCTGGGCCGCAGCGCCGTGTGCAGGGCGAAGCGCGCCAGCGCCTCCTTCATGGCTGCCGTCCTGGCCGCCGGGCTGGCCACGCGCCTGGGCAGCAGGGGCCGGCGGGCGTTGCGCCAGTGGCACACGACCTTCTCGGGGGGCCGGTAGAGGTTGTCGGGGTTCAGGTGTCCGGCGGTGTAGAGGGCGATGTCACGGTGCTGGCCTTTCTCCAGCCTCTGCAGGAGGCTCCTGAGGTTCCACAGTGCGTCCACTCTCCTGGCCGCCTGGCGTCTCCATGGCTGGCCCGCTGCGCAGGGAGAGGGCTCCTGCCACTGGCTGCCAGGACCGCAGCTGCCCGCCGCCCGAGGCTGTGCCCGAGCCCGGAGGAGGGGGAGGGGGGGGGGAGGGGGAAGAGGGGGAGAAGGAGGAGGGGGAAGAGGAGGGGGGAGGACTGGGAGGAGGAGGGGGAGGACGAGGAGGAGGAGGGGGAGGGAGAGGAGGGGAGGGGGAGGGGGAGGGGGGAGGACTGGGAGGAGGAGGGGGAGGACGAGGAGGAGGAGGGAAAGCGCTCGGCTGTGAGGACAACATTGAACCCATTTGCCAGGCCAGCTCTGGCCCTGAAGCAGGACACGGGGTTCTCCTCAGCACGGAAGCGAGGCTCCAAAGGGATGAGGGGTGGTAGCCGTCTGACAAGTGACCCCACACACAGCCCCGAGCATGGCAGCAGCTGCAGATCCCGGTCACAACTGCAGCCAGGGGGCTGGAGCTGGGTCTCAGCTCAGGCGGCACCGGAGATGAAGGGGTGGCCTGGCGGGCGCTGGCAGGTCTGGGGGACCGGACCATCGCCTCCAGGCTGCCCTACTGCTGGCATCGCCCAGATCCTACTGGTGTGGGAGCGGGCCGCCCCATGCCCGCTGTTGGTGGGGGTGACCGAGCTCCTTGGGGGAACCCCTTCTCCAGACTCACGGCCCCTCCACCTCAGAGCCAGCAGGCCACTTCCCAAACCTCCCACACCCCGCCTTCCAAGGAGATACACACTCACACACACACACACACACACACTCATACACACACACATACACACTCATACACAGACACTCTCACACACTCACACACACTCTTACACACACACACTCATACACACACACATACACACACACAGACACTCTTATACACACTCTTACACACACACACACAGACACTCTTATACACACTCTTACACACACACACACACATACACACACAGACACTCTTAGACACACACACACACTCACACGCACAGACACTCTTACACACACACACACACTCATACACACACATACACACACACTCACACACACACACACACTCTTACACACACACACTCGTACACACACACACACACACACACACACACACAGACACTCTTACACACACACACAGACACTCAGACACACACACACTCACACACACTCTTACACACACACACACACACACTCATACACACACACACACTCTTACACACACACACTCGTACACACACACATACACACACACACACACACACACACACTCACACACACACACACACCCCTAACCACTCTCCTCTGGTCTCCTCTGAGAGTCGTCGGCAGGCTTCCCGTGTTGGAACTCACCCGCAGACCCACTCCCAAACCTGGGGCCCCGGAGCCGAGCTGCAGCCCAGGAAGGTCATTTCCACACGGGCTCAGAGACACGAGCCTCCCGGCAACCTGACACCCAACACACCACCCCCCAACAGTGAAAGCGCTCAGTGCCTCACACTCAGAATCCGCAGAATCCGAGTCCTTCTCCATCCTCCTCCCCACAGGCGCTGGGCTGGGCTGGTTACCGAGGAGACGGCCAAACATTCTGTCCCTCCCCTCCAGTCCTCTGCTGCCAGGCAACGGGCCACGAGCCCCCAGGGACTCTCCCTGGGACCCTCCTCCTCTAGGGCCTCTGCCTTCCTCCCCGAGCACTGGGTCTGCTTGCCTGTTGTCGCTTTAAAAGAACACACTTTTCATAATGGGAGAAAATATCCAAATACCCTGGCACTTTCTTTTTTTAAATCTATTTTTACTGATTTCAGAGCAGACGTAAGAGGGGGAAAGAGAAACATCAATGAGTTGAAAATCACTGATCGGCTGCCTTCTGCACGCCCCACCCTGGGATCGAGCCCACCGCGCTGGCATGAACTGTGAGTTGGACCGGGAACTGCACTGACGTCTGCGTCAGAGGTCGATGCTCAGCCCTGACTCCGCTCCGAAGCCCCGAGCAGCCACGGTGGTCTTTGCCGGGTGCCGTCCCCCGCGCGCAGCCCCGGCAGCTCCTTGCAGGGCCTGACCAGGAGCCTGCTGGGGAGGAGGATAGCTCTCCAGGGCAGGCAGCGTGAGGGGCCCAGCGCAGCAGGAAGTTGGCAGGAAAATGCCTTTACCTGGGGGCTAAGCCTTGGCCTTGGACAGGAAGTGCTTGGTCTCCAATCTCCTTCATTAAAAGCTAAGACCACCGAAACCCATTTGGCTCAGTGGTAGAGCGTCTGTCTGCGGACTGAAAAGTCCCAGGTTCGACTCTGATCAAGGGCATGTACATTGGTTGCGGGCACATCCCCAGTAGGGGGTGTGCAAGAGGCAGCTGATCGATGTTTCTCTCTCATCCACAACATTTCTAGCTCTCTATCTCTCTGTAAAAAATCAATAAAATATATTTAAAAAAAAAAAAAGTGCTAAGACCGCGTGGACCCCCAGGGTTTCCTGGGACAACGCTGGAGAGGAACAAGCCTCTGCTCCCTGCCACCTGGCAGTTCGGTGTCTCCCAGGCGGAGTCTCCGCCCCACCTCCCCTGTGCAGGCCCCACGCACATCCTCCACGCACTCCCCCCACCAGCACCCCCGCAGGCACCTCTCCATGCCCACGCGAGGCTGCTTACATCCCACAAATGACAGCACAGGTATAGGAGGTGGTTAAAAACTGTATTCAATTATTCACACCCAAGGGTACCTGTTAAAATTATGAACCGCTCTGAATAGTTCGTGTATCATACATATATATATACTTCATATGTATAGTTACATATCGACACAGGACTGCTCGCTGCCTCGAAGCGTGTGCTGTGGAGAGGAGGTGGGTTCTGGGGCGGCACCACACGGACGAGGTGCCGGCAGCTGGGACGCCGAGTGGCCGTACAACTCGCCTCGGGTTATACACGGCTGCTGTTCACCGTACACAGGTGACAGGAGCGGGTTCTCTCACATTCAAAGAGGGCAAGTGAACACGAAGGTACACGCGTGCACAGCGCCTGTCACTTACACGCAGAGGCCGGGCCTCACCAGTCGCTGCCCTTGAGCGTTTTACACAGACTTCCGTGACGTGTACAAATAAAGGCGGGGATTTACTCAGTACACGCAGCTGGCCATCGTGCACCTGACAGTCCTTCTCCTCACTCTACAGACGGCCCGTGGCCTCGGGCACAGATCCACAGGCGGGAGGTGGGCGTGGGGCACGTGGGTTTGGCGCCGTGTCGCCGCGCTGCACTCCGGGGTGTGGTCAGCAGGAGGGTCGCCCAGACTCTCAGCGAGGTGGGGGCCGAGGACTTAAAGGAAGTCACCTTTTCTTCTCAGAAAGATCCAAAGCGCGGCACTTCTTCAAACCGTGGCGACTGTTCTCGGTGTTTGGGCAGCGCGTTCCTGGCAACAGGGTCAGGGGCCTGGTGGACAAGGCCTCCAAAAACGTGCACACAGAGCGAGGCTTTAAAGCAATCGGCGACACATGGACCCGGACAGGTTCATGCACCGGGAACCTAGAACAGCCCGGCAGCACGGGGGAGGGCCCGGCAGCGCCCGGCCAAGACACAGTGTTCAGAGACTGGAAAGTCAGACCAGTTCTCACAACAGAAGGCATACACTCATGTGAGTAAACTAATGTCTTTAACGAATTAAACACTAACTCAGCAAAGTGTAGAAAGCATGTTGGAAATATGTAAAGACAGAAGAGTTTTTCAAAACCCACACCATGCATGTGTGCCTGGAACCCACCAAAATCACATGGCACACCACAGTCGGCCACAGCTGGGGGCGCAAACAGGGGGGCACAGCTCACCAGCGGCAGCCAGCAGGGTGTATGTGAATAAAATCGAACAAAAGGCAGAAATCAGTGAGGAGGGGACGGGTCTAGTCACTCGGCGCAGTGAGGTTAGCCATGGATGCGTCCCTTTCCCTGTCTCCAACTGCAGTTAAGGAAAGCAAAATAAATACACACAGGTAACAGAAACATTGCAGTATTGAAAAAATGGTAGGGACCGAGCCATGGTGAATAATTTAGTCCTATTGAAAGCTCAAACGTTAATTTTGAGTTCAGAGACTAAAATACTCAAAACTAAACATATTAAAAGTATCCAGGGAGCTGTAAGGACCGATGTCGCCACAGGTCTTGTGTACGAGAACATGCCCAGAAAGCAAAATTCACTGCGGTCGGCGGCACACAATTAGAAAGCAAACCAGAAGCATGCAGGAGGAAACCCACAGGGGCGGCCTCGTTTCCCAGGCGCTGCTATGCTGCCTGACAGCCCCGAGGACCGCAGTCACCGCACAGGCGCTCTGCGGGGCGAAGGGTCAGGGTCGGCAGGGAGAGAACAAGGTTCCTCCCCGGCTTCTTAGAGATAACCGGCCTGGGAAAGGCCGTTTTTGAGAATTCCTTTCCGAAGCCAGTGCGTTTCTTTGAACTTCCCGAATTCACGAGCCGCCGTCCACTACTGAGCACTGCAGGGCTGGCGTTTCTAGAACGGACCCCAGCCCAGTCCCTATTCCAGGCCACGGGCACGTCCCACATCTCCGCTCCGCACACATCCCGGCGTGGAGGGGAGCGGGGCCATGGCATGGGAACAGCACGCCGGGACCACGCCTCGACCAGCCTCCCTCTCCTCACGGCATCACCAGATTCCCACCAACAGGGACACTGGCCCAAATCAAACGCCTCCTTAGTGAGAAACTCGTCAGAACTTACAGTGGCGAAAACCATCTTCCCTTTCAAAACAGGATTTGGAGAAAGGGTGAGAACAGAACTCTCAAGGTTGTTGCTAAATACAGAGTGACCCCCCCCCCCCAAAAAAAAGTACCCGCGCTTTAACAGCTGGTGGCTGGATTTTGAAGATGAAATGGATTTTAATAAAGGCCGCCTTCATGATCACTCCATGTGTGCAGATGTTGTTCCAGGGCACCCTATAGAGCTGTCAACATAGGAAAAATACGCCCAACTCTATGTTGCTTTTCCAACACGGATTAGCTGCATGTGACCGCACGCTGGAAGCTCGCACTCTGGGCAAATCCCTGACCTTAAGCAGGTCTCACTCGTTGCCTTCAGAACACAGCCCGGCGCTCACACCTCGTTTCTCCCCTGATAACAGTCCACAGCAGTCCCACCCATAAACCCACACGCATTTCTGTGGGGAACTGGAGATCACACCATACCCGTGTGTGCGGATCAGCCTACCAGCACAGCAGCCGGCCACGCACGCCGGCCGGACCAGGAAAGCAGCTGGAGAGCGAGCAGCGGAGCCCGGCCCGCCCTCCCGCCATGAATCAGGCAGCAACCTGCAGTGATAGTCACCCCCCCACCCCGCCACCATGCAACTCGGTCTCCAAGTTCATCGATGACGATGGCACTTCGGGGCTGCAGGTGGATCCGGGGCGGGAGGCCAGAACCACGGGCCGTGGCTCCGCTCCCTGCCCTGAGCACACGCACAGGCACGGCTGCCCCAGCCAGCTCTTAGCAAATGACACCGTTTTTACGAGGAAAGCCAGTCTTTGAAGAATGTGGGTGCATTTTATTTTCCGCGTGGTTGCTTCTCTCTCGCTCTCACATGTGTCTACATACAAGTGTGTATCTACATATGTACAGGAGTGTAAAGCTACACACACCGGTGTATCTAGCCAGAGTGGCCTTTCTCTCTCCAGCTGTTCCGCCCTCCCTCATATTGTAAAATTACAACAGCAGACGGGGCTCTGAGGAGGGGAGGCGCCCACATCCATAACTCCCCCACCCCGTGAGGAAATTGAACACATAGTGTTAATTTTAAAGAACAAAGTTTATGCACAGCTCTCTGCCCCACGTAAATAAACCATGCTGTAGAAACAACTGGCTTATCTTCACAAGAACCAAGCTCCTATGGACCACCGTGTGCACAGCATGGCATCTGTAGACGGACATTTAAAAATCTCCGTTAGGAATGGCCTCATTCTGGCTTCCTGGCCCGGGACCAGGGGACTCGCTACTGGGCATGGACCAGCCTGTCACACTGTGGCCTCCAGCTAATTCCACCGGATCCGACCCCACAGTGACCGTGACTGAAAGCCACGGCAGCACCACGTCCCCCGGGGGTGCCCTGCTCAGCTCGGCATCCTGTGGGGGTCCAGGCTGTTCCTTTTGTAGATTTCTCACAAACATTTACACTTGGCATGATGGGAGTCCGCCAGAGGCTATGCAGGAGCTCACACACAGGACTCTGTGGATGTTGGGCGCTGAGCAGAGAAGACAGGAGTCAGCCCCAGCCTGGCTGGGTGCCTCAGTGGTTGAGTGTTGATCTATGAACCAGGAGGTCACGGTTCCATCCTATTTAGGGCAAGTACCCAGGTTACAGGTTCGATTCCCAATAGGCGGCATGCAGGAGGCAGCCGATCAATGATTCTCTCTCCTCACTGATGTTTCTCTCTCTCTCTCCCTCCTCTCCTTTCCTCTCTGAAATCAGTAAAAATATATTTTAAAAAAGAAATCCACTCCAGCCCTCGCTCTGGCTCCTTCCCGTCCTGACACGCAGCTGGGGAGGACAAGGGCAGCAGGAGGCTGGGACCTGAGCGCTGAAGTGGCAAGCGGCAGGAAATGGAGAGAAGTTCTAGGTTTAACTTGATTTGGGAGAAATCAATGGTAATGAAGGAAACAGCCTTTCAATATGAATGTGGACCTAAACTTCTGCCACGACCCAAAATGAAACTATAAATAAATCATCATTCAAAACTCAACATTTTACCCCACAGAAGCCTGTCTGCTAAAAAGATGCACATGCCTTGCTTTATTTTGTTCTCTGCAAAATGCCGTACTGTGCCAAGGCCGCAAATGCCCTTTGCACCCCTGCATGGCTCCGAGCCTGCCCTCAGCCAGGCACCTCCTCCCCGGGAGGGAAGGCTGCTTCCGCTGCAGGCTGCCTCTGCCACAAGCAGAGCGCGCTCCAGAGCCCACTCCTCCCTCGCTGTGAGGACATGGTCCGCGGGAAGCTGGGGGGCCTGGGGCCTGCGGCTGCCTGCTGCGCACGCCCATCACAGGCAGCCACGCACAGACACCACAATCGAATGCGTGAAACTCCTATTTATAGCCAACAACACTGAAGCGACAGTGAGAGCCAGAGTACACTGCCGTAATAGTACCGTTTCCAACCCTCACTACAAGACCGGCGGCAAAGCACCCTTTGTGAAGAGCGAGTCGTCCCCAGTAAGGCGTCAGCAGTGTCAGCCGGTAGGCCAGGCCCGTCCCCGCGGTCGCCGTCCGCGGCGAGGGTGAGACTGGCAGGTGTCAGCTGGGGGGCGGAGTCACTTGATGGGACCTTCTGCACGAGGCTGGCATCTGGGCGCCAGGTGTAGGTTTCCCCCACAAAAATAAAAGGTAGAAAAGTCACAGAAGCAAGAGGAGTGTCTGTGTGGGACAGCTCCCGGGCCATCAGTCCTCCATCTTCACAGACAGCTTCTGCTCCATGGGGCCTGGGGCCGTCGGCGGGGACGAGGCCCAGGATGAGGTCTCCTCCCCGCGGATCACCTTCTCCCACTGGATGAGGTTGTTCCTAGGACAGACGACCAGCGACACTGTTTGCTGGGGTCCTGGCCTGCGCCTCAGCGCGGACCCCACGCTCCTGCAGCACCAGGGCTTTAGGTGCTATTCTGACTGATGTAACTCGCTTGCTAGGCCAGGCAGGCTCCCATTGGCCTCCCTGACCAGACACCACAACTCAGTGTCCCCAGAAGAGCCAGAAGCCACCTAAGCCTGGGGGAGGGGCCGGGTCCCAGATGGCAAGGGCAGGCCAGCGAGGCTCAGGACAGAGCCTGTCACCCAGTTAGCAGGGGTGGCAGCGAGGGGATGTGCTGTTGGGTGACTTGCTGAGGAACAGGTGGCACCTTTACCAGCCATGAAAAAGAAGGCTCTCCTGCCTCTGAGCAGCCGGAGGGACCTGGAGCGCCCTCTGCTGAGTGCATCAGCCAGGCAGAGAAGGACAAGAGTCACACCATCTCCCTTAGGTGTGGAGTCTGATGGACAGAATAAGCTGGGGACCAAACAGAACCAGAGACTGGCTCCCAGGACGGACACGGCAGCGCAGGGCTGGGGTCCTGGATGGAAGGAGGGGCCTGCGGACACACCTGCCGGTGTGGGTCAGAGGAGGGGGCGGGGCCTCTGTGGCCCTGTCACAGGAAGAGTCTGAGTCTCTCCCCGGCTGTACGCACCTGCAGGCTCTGAGGAGCGGCTCCGTGGGCGGGAAGATCCGGGTGAGGGTGGTATAGCAGGGGATGGCCACCGCGTTGTAGAAGCCGAGCTGCCCGTGGAGCCACCGGCAAGAAACACACGCACGTTAGCCACCCGGCAGCACGTGTCCTCGGGAGCCTGTTCCTGAGCCTGCCTGCCACAGGGAAGGTCTCACTGAGCTACCTGACCGTGCGTCACTCTGGAAGGGAAGCACGAGGAAGCCTAACGCACCTCCGTTACTGTGGCCCAGCACCGCCTTCCGTGGGACCTGCTTCGAATGAAGCAACTGTGATCCAGACTCTGTGCTTACCTCTGGTGGCTCTGGAGTCCCCCAAGGCGTGGCCAGGTCCAGCACCTGCCTCTAAACACCCCCCCCACCACCACCACGCCTGCAGCTCTGGTGCCTAGTTCTCTCCTAATGTTACACTCAGCCCCCACCCCTTTCCTGACCCACCACAAATCCCAGGGACTGGATCCAGCTCCCTCAACTCGTCAAACCCCACCGTTTCCCATGGCTTCCCAATGCCTTTCAAGAAAACGGCCCTGGCCTTCTATGGGACATGCCAACGGAGAGAGGGTCGGAGCGACTGGTCCTTGCGGTGCTCCTGCCGGAAAGTCTGCCTCACCGCCCCTGACTAGCTCGTGCCCACGCATTTCCACCCTCCGCTGCGGCAAGGCGGAGACCTGCCGCTTTAGCCTGGAGCAGTCCTCACGGAGCACAAGCTGGGGGAACGCGAGGGGCTGGAGGCGGCATGCCTCCGGCAGCAGAGACGCACTGCGCAGCTGGTCCGGTGTCAGTGACCACAGAAGTGCTTTATCTAAAACACTCTCACCCCGTAACGAGCCTGTGGTGTTTGGAAACATTCAACTCCTCTTACTTCAGTAACACGAGCGCTCAGCCTGGTCTTGGCAACACGGCCAGCCGCCCTGTGCGTGCTGCTGGGATGACCGCTCAGCTCTCCACAAAGAAAAGCATCGTCAGGTCCCCCTCCAACCAACTCCCCACACGTGAACAGGGTGAGACGATGTGTGGAAAGCCCCCGTGGCACAATCCTGGGCGCAGAGCCTTTCCCACGGAGCTCACACACAGGCTGCAGAGACTGGCCACTGGGAAAGAGCCGCTTAGCCCAATGCCCGGGCCGCACGTGTGCCAGGCGAGCGGGTATCCGCGCAGAGGCGGGGGGCAGCCCTCTAGGAGCTGGTAAGCAGCGGGCTGTTGCTCATAGAGCCGTGGAGATGCAGGAGCCTGCAACTCTCGCTGGGCTGGCGCCCTCCATACACAGACCCTTGGATGAGCAGTCAACCAACCAACTTCAAACAAAGTAGGAAAACGGGAGAACTTAGTCAAAACCATCATCCTGCCGAAACCGGTGTGGCTCAGTGGATAGAGCGCTGGCCTGCGGACTGAAAGGTCCCAGGTTCGATTCTGGTCAAGAGCATGTACCTTGGTTGCAGGCACTTTCCCAGTAGGGGGTGTGCAAGAGGCAGCTTGTTGATAATTCTCTCTCATCAATGTTTCTAACTCTCTATCCCTCTCTCTTCTTCTCTGTAAAAAATCAATAAAATGTATTTTAAAAAAAATCATCCTGTGGCCCGGCCGGCGTGGCTCAGTGGTTGAGGCGCCCTATGAACCAGGAGGTCATGGTTCGATTCCCAGTAGAGGCATATTCCCAGGTTGTGGTCTGGATCCCAGAGTGAGGCGTGCAGGAGGCAGCCAATCAGTGATTCTCTCTCATCATTGATGTTTCTCTCTCTCCCTTCCTTTCTGAAATCAATAAAAATATATACTTTAAAAACACCATCATCCTGTAAATTTTCTGAAATTATTTCTACCCTGAATTCATGATAACTATTTGTCCATAACTAACTTCCTAATTGTGGCATTAGAGGATGGGGAGGTAAAAAGGCGATAATCTTGCAAAAGTCATTACACCACCCGTGTGCACATGGAAGTTAACAAGGCACAAGAACTCTCAAGACATAAAGTATTTTATGTGTGTTCCTGGACAGGGAATGACTGTCAATTTATGGCAAGATAAAACTCAAATGTACTAAAAGTCTATGCATTATTTGTTAGCAAAAATGGGCCTAATCAAAATCTATAATGCTAACCCCCAAAGAAGTACCTGTTTGTTCACAGACAAAGTATTTTCTGCAAGTTAACACTCACACTGCTCCAGTCCCTGTACCTCTGGTCAGGGAAGAAGTCTGTTCATGGCACAGCGTCTGCAGGAGGGGCTGCTGATGAGGGGGCGTGGACTCGGTTTCCCAGCCGTGGCCTTACGCTCCCCAAGGCGCTCCTGTGGCGCACGGTTCTGCCCTCGGAACAAGACCACCCCACCCTCACCCCGTCCATGCGGCCTGGGAACTGAAGAGAGAACGGAAGCGCCGGCCAGGCTGCAGACTTGGCAGGGTCCACTGCTAGGGAGCGCCTGAGCTCTGGGCCCGGCAGGCTGGCTCGGGGCAGGGAGTCAGGCAGAGATGACGCCTGACAGCCGCTCCCGGATAAAGCACTAAAGCTCCTCTATGCGCTGCCAGACCGGCAGGAGCCGCCCATGCACACGGAGCACAGACGGCGTGTGCTTGGTCCATGCCCGACGGCTGACCGCCTCACTCCCGAGCCACAGCATCATACCTGGCCTTGTGGGACCTCATCCCTCTTGTCCCGGTCCATCATGGGGATGGGCTGTATCCCCAGCTTCTTCATCTCGTCGCCCTGAAAGGAGCGGGGACAGTCATGCTTTCTCAGTCCCGGGCTCTTCCCTCCAGTCACTCCCTCTCCTCACAGTGAACCTGCAGTGGTGCCTGACGGGATAAAGCCCACAATGAGCCTCCGGTCGCTGTGGGTCTCTCTCCGGAGGTCCCTCTGCATTCGCTGCCCAGAACCCAGCCGCCTGCTCCCTCTGCAGAAGGCAGGCGTTTTTAAGAGGAGACCGAGGCGCGAGTGAAGAGACACGCGGAGCAACTCCAAGCCCTTCCGTGGTTTCCCGTGGTGTCCCGTGCTGAGCGGAGCACGGGCCAGACCATGCCTGTGCGGATGCCACAGCCAGAGGCTCACTCCAGGCGGCCAGCGGGGCCCTCGGCCTTGTGGAGCCAAGAGGACGAGATGGCATCTTCTCACTCGGGACAACTCAGAAGGGAAACTCACATTTCTGACCGTCCAGGCCTCAGGCAGGACAGGTGTTCACAAACCAAATGCCTCCCATGATGGCTCCCAGGCCGCGAGTGTGGTGCACACACTGTGGACAGGTGCACGGACAGCCCCCAGGCCTGTGGGTCAGCAAGACTCCCTCACATTTCTGCCTGCCCTGCCCACGACTGTGGCCCCCCGGTGCCTGGACAGGCCTGTCCCCACAGATGAGCCTGCTTACTCCTGAGCGAGGGGCCCGCTACTCCAGGAGGAAGACTGGCACTGTTCGGAGGCAGGCATTCCCGCTGGGTCAGAGCTGACCACCCCTGCGCGCACCTCCTGTGCCAACGCTAAGCCCGTCGGTGTGACCGACTGCAGCCTTCTGGAATAACCTGTGACGCAAGCAGCTAACTCAGAGCTTCTCCGTCACCCGTATCCTTACTTTCTCTTCACTTTCCCCGTTCCTCGACATCATGGAGTCACGTGAACACCACCGACCTACCTCAGCCCAGAACTCTGCATAAATGTCGTTGGCCGTCAACTTTGTAACCGGCCACAGCTTCGTCACAGAACAAAGGTCACAGGCAGTCATCATCAAGCCAATGACGCGGTCTCTGGAACAGAGGACAGAGTGGTCAGCAGCACTCACGTTGGACAAGGCCTACCTGTACGGCCTCGTTCTACCGTAACTTCTTTGTAGTCCTGTCTCCCATGGTAACGTTCTGGGAATCAGGACCTCAGCCCACACCACTTTCTAGAACAAACGTGAGTCTAGCGTGAGCCTCCCACGAGCCTCCCGCCATCGTTCGCCTCTGCCACACCAACACCAGCACGCTGTCTGATGGCTGGTCCTTAGTAGGAAGCTCACGTCGGGTCAAGGTGTGCAAACGTGGCTTTTGCTTTGTCAGAGCGGCCTTGACGGCTACAGACCCTCTGGACAGCACATCTGGGGGCACTGCCGCTCTGTTCACAGACAAGGACTTACTGACTGACAAACGTGTTAGGGAACCTTTAGGGAAATATATATTTGGCTACAATGGGTGAAGAAATTGGAAGTTTTACGAGATACAGAGGCTATAAAAATGAGCCGGAAAGAATCTCAATCCTATGTAATAAAAGTGTAGTATGCAAACAGCCCTCCAGACCGGGATTTTGGTGTACAGGCACCTGCTCGCACCGCGGCATTCCACTCCTCCACCGAGCAGGGTTACGTTACAGGGCTTATTCCTGTGCTGTTTGTCCGTCACTGTGTGTCCCCACAGGACAACTGTAACCCTGCTTCAGCCACTCTGTATCGTCAGGGGGCGGGTCAGGCTGGGGGAAGAGAGGGAGGCCCTAGCTGGCAGCAGTGGTGGCAGCAGGGGAAGGGAGAAAAGCCCGAGCCAGCAGCGGCAGCACTAGGGGCCCTACCAGTGCACAAATTTCATGCACAAAGCCTAATAAAGAGGGAATATGCTAATTGACCATCATGCCCTCACAAAGATGGCAGTGCCCACAGCCAATAAGGAGGGGATATGCTAATTGCCTGTCACACCCTCAAAGATGGCAGCACCCACAGCCACAAGATGGCCACACCCAGTCCCCTCAGCCCTGCCGGGGTAGCAGGTGCATGGCATGGCTAGGCCTGCCCCTACGCAAGTCTGGCTGCTCCTTGCACCTGCCTCTGGAATCCCCTAATCCTTCAACTCCCCAGCCGCCCAGGGCTGCCCCAGCCTCAGGTAACCAGGGCTAGCCATGGCTTGCACTGCCAGCAGTGGCAGCAGCAGAGGTGTGATAGGGGTGTTGCCTTCCCCTGATCACCGGATCGCCTCCCAACCCTGAGGACTCCCAGACTGTGAGCTGTGAGAGGGGGCAGGCCAGGCTGAGGGACCGCCCCCCCCCCCCACTCCATTGCATGACTTTTCATGACCGGACCTCTAGTATAAGACATTGACTGGAATGAATGACGGGTGGGCGGGGACATTTGAAAGGACCAGTGACACTCCAATGGGTCCCCCAGAGCACGCTGCACAGGACGGGCACCTGTGGGACTGGTTGTTGAGGTTCAGCGAGCCCGTCTGGTGCATCTCCTCCAGCTGCTTCCGGTTGCCGAAGTAGAGGGCGAGGTCCGTGGCGATGATGGCTTTGCGGATGATCTCGAGCACCTGCTCGTACTCGCTGGAGCTCAGGGTGGAGAAGATGTTGTGCCCTTCTAGCTGTGGAGACAGCGCAGTGACAGGCACCTGCTCCTCCACTGAGCAGGGTTACGTTACAGGGCTTATTCCTGTGCTGTTTGTTAGTCACTGTGTGTCCCCACAGGACAACTGTAACCCTACTTCAGCCACACTGTATCGTCAGTGGCCTGAAACGATGAACGGAATGAAGGTTTTGGTTTCTCTTTAAGCTGTCACTTAAATGAACTGTGAAACCAGTGGCATCGTTTGCTATCACCAAACTCCAATGATTTAATGATACACCTAGTTTTTGGATATTTCTCATAAGTTATTAAAGGACTGGAAAGTGTAAAATATCTAAGTATTTCTTCTTAAATTGAAACAGTAGTAATTTTTATTTATATTATTTACTTATTTTATATTAAGTCCTCATCTGTACTGAAAATCATTGGGCTCAAAAGTCATCAATATCCTTGTCCATTCCAGCCTAATGAGTACCAGCCTCCTTGGCTTTCCCCAAGAACACGTCCCACAAGCTCAAACTACATTCAGCACGCCACAGCTCCCACAGGAGAACTTCACGCAAACACGTGGCCAGGGGCACGGCCGCAGGGCCCGCTCTGCGGTCCTCAGGCAGCCTCTCCACACGGCCCAGACAGTCCTCTGGCTGCTACTGCCCCCGCAGTCTTCCTCACGGGAATCTTCTACAGCTTCCCACAACAATCCCGCTCTCTAAGAATTTTAAGTCTGTACTTGTAATTAAGGTAAAAAGGGACAGAGAGGTTGAGATAATTAAGATGCATTAAATGTGTGGGCTCATCACTTAGGTTTTCATGATTTCGTTATCAGTCATCAGAGTCTGACCATTAATTGATCGGCACGTATTTTCACTTGTAGCTACAACCACTGCAGCTATGTTAGTGTGTCATTCGTGACCATGTTTCCATCCCATTCTAAGTGTCCCTGGTCTAAGACAACGAGGACCATTTCAGAGGTCTGCATATTCTGCCAGGTTCTGTGGAGTCACTATTCCTTTTACTACTTTTCAATGCTGAAGGAGGAAGAATTCAGGACAGGACCTTCAGAATGCAAAGTGGTAACCGGGACCCTTTTGCTGCCTCCTTTAATTTTATGAGATTAAAGGAAGTGAACAAACAAACAAAAATGCCCCCTTCCCCTCAAGAGACTCTAGAATAAATATATTGTCAATATTTTGCTACAAAAACACAGGAAAATAAAGGGGATATATGCAACCAAACACACCAGATAAACAGCGTTAAGCGGCCTTCACTAGATGACTGGCTAAAGATGTGGCACATACACACAATGGAATGCTGCGTTTGTGATGAATCCCCATCATGCTCAGTGAAATAAGTCAGACAGAAACACTGAGGAGCCATATGATTGCACTCTTGTCTGGGAGATAAAACTGAAAGGCATAAGTGAACAGACAAGACAATAAGCTAACAAAACGCATAGGCACAGGCAATGGCATCTGGCACCAACACACCAGGGGCGTGCATGCGTGTGTGCGTGTGACACATGAGGGAGGGGTTCCCAGAGGGAAGGGTTCCCAGAGGGAAGGGGCAGTACTGCAGTAAAGAGTAAAGGGGGTCAAATATATGGGGATGGAAGTAACATGACACTGGGTGGTGGGCACATAGGGTGATATACAGATGATATGGCATAGAACTGTTCACTTGAAATCTATAATTCTATTAACCAATGTCACCTCCAGAATTTAATTTAAAAGGTAATTTAAAAAGAAGAGTATCTATGAAATTCTAATTTTCGTATCCATAAATAAAGTATTATTGGATACAAAAATATGTTTAAATCTCCAATTTCACATTAGCTAATAACTTAAAACCTCATGAAGTAATACAATGGGTATCCCAATTGGTAAAGAACTGTAAACCCAAGAATGTTTCTAAAGCCCCCAAATGGGTGAACAGCCCGTACATTCTCATCTCCATGGACACAGGCGAGTGGGTTCTGTAGGTACTCCAGATCCTAAGGTCAGACACATCAGAGAGTCCACTGGTGCTACACCTGCCCAGTGCTACACTGCCTGGTGCTACCCTGCCCAGCACTACCCTGCCCAGTACTACCCTGCCCGGTGCTACCCCTGCCCGGTGCTTCCGTTGCCCGGTACTACCCTGCCCCGTGCTACTCTGCCCAGTACTACCCTGCCCGGTGCTTCTGCAGCCCAGTGCTTCCGCTGCCCGGTACTACCCTGCCCCGTGCTACCCTGCCCAGCACTACCCTGCCCAGTACTACCCTGCCCGGTGCTACCCCTGCCTGGTGCTTCCGCTGCCCGGTACTACCCTGCCCCGTGCTACCCTGCCCAGTACTACCCTGCCCCGTGCTACTCTGCCCAGTACTACCCTGCCCGGTGCTTCCGCTGCCCGGTGCTTCCGCTGCCCGGTACTACCCTGCCCGGTGCTACCCTGCCCAGTACTACCCTGCCCGGTGCTACCCTACCCAGTACTACCCTGCCCGGTGCTACACCTGCCCCGTGCTACCCTGCCCAGTACTGAGACCTGCCCCTGCCCGAAGCTGCGAGCCTCCCAGTGCTGAGGCCTCCAGCCCTAGCCATGGGGGTGCCAGGACGCAGCGCCCTGCCCGCTGGAGCACACTCTCCTGCCTCAGCCACATCTTCCCTCACAAACGCGGCCACCAGTGCTCATTCCGCAGATGCTCAGCCCGCGGGGCTTCCCTCCATGAGGATGCCAGCAGCTCAGGACCTGCTGTGTCCAAGGCCCAGTGTGACGAAATGTCTGACTACAGAGGGCAGGCGCCATGGACTGAAACAGCAAATGCACTCCAGTGCGCTCCGAGTGTCACAAAGGGTTCTTGGCCTGCACCTGTCACTAGCGCTGTGTGCCGGGCTCCGGGACGAAGCCCCCTGCCCAGCCCTGCCCGAGCGCCGCGCGGAGCGGCCGGCCCACCTGCAGGATGGACACGGTCTGGGAGAAGTGGTGCTGCTCCATGGTGGATGTGGAGTAGAGTGCGGCCAGCGGGTGGTCGAACTTCTGCAGGTAGCTGTTGCTGAAGCCCCTGTGGTCCAGGTCGTGGCACAGACACGCGATGAGCAGTCCTTTGCGCTGTGAACACCACCCGGGGCACAGGCGTTGAAAACCGAGCATGGGCCAGGGAGGCCCACAGCCGTCACTCCTGCCACACTGCCTCTGCCGCCCGCCACCAGCAGCCCCTCAGTGAGCTCTGATCCCAAGTCTAACTGCTTCTACTCCTCTGGGCTTTCCTGCTCATGAACTTGAGTCAAAGGATCCCTCCTTCGCTCTGAGAAGAGTGTAGGGGGGACCCAAGAAAGACAAGGCCCCCAAGAGAGAAACCAATGTGCCGGGAGAGGGCAGCCTTGTCCTCATGAGAAACCTGCTCCTGTGAGATAATAACGTGTCAGTCACTGTAAACCAGAGAGCAGAGCAGGCTGCAGCCCAGGGAGGGCACAGGTGAGCAGAGGCCTGAAGACAAGTAGGGCAGGCGGCTCTGAGAGGCCGGTGGGCACGCAGTGGGTAGACACCTGCTGCAGGAGGGCCCTCCCTGAAAGCCAGCAGGTCAGGGAGGCCGTGGCTCAGGGACAGCGGGGAGAGGACGGTGAGATGGAGGGGGGGAGGCTGAGGACCTCATAGGTCTAGTACCCTGCGTGAGCCAGGGAATGCGACAAGGCAACTTGGTCATCAGAGATGAGGGCTCCCTTCCCTCCATGGCTAGAGGTCTCCTGGACGAGGACACTGGTGATGGAAGAGGAGAGGGGGCTGCAGGAGGGCTGCACAGGGGCCAGGTGGAGAGGAGGCATGCAGCATTAGGCAGCTCCAGATCTGGAATGCTTGCAAGAGGGGCTAAGCTCCAACCCCCTAACGCACAGTGGGCCCAGCACACAGTGGGGCGAGAATGGACGAGCTGTCCCAGAACCTCCCGGGACCCACGCCAGGTATGGGAAGGCAGGGGGCGGTGACACGCCCCAGGGCCCGCTTCCCTGCCAGAGGGGATCGATCGTGTGGCACTGAGGTCGGGATCGGTTGCCCCTTAGTGGTGTGTCCATGTACCCAGAGCTCAAGGCCACGGGCAGCCACAGCTCCTCCCTCAGAAGACGGACAGGAGCAAAGGCCACAGACACCCCTCTTCCCTGGGCACCGGTCAGTGAGGCGGGAGTCTGCGCATCTGCACTTCTCACTCAAAACCCTACGGCACCAGCCTGGTGTGGCCGTCTACACAGCGTGCTCCTGTGAGTCACAGAGCCAGGGTCTGTCCCGGAGCCTGTCGCACATCCACACCACCCGAGGGGGACAGGAACGCGGGTCCCGGGGAGGGGCCCACAGCGCGCACCTCCAGGTCGGAGAAGAGCCCCAGGTTGTTCTGCAGGATGGCATACATGCAGTGCGCCACTGTCACCGCATGCTTCCAGTTGTGGTAGGGCACTCGCCTGTAGTTCTTCTTCACAGACATGATGAAGCGGCACAGCTTCTCAAAGTCAAAGCTGTGGGAAGAGAGACAGGAGCTGGCAGTCAATATGCCCAGGAGAGGCCTCTGGTCTGTAGCTCACGCCGTCTATACTGAATGTCCGTGACCATGAGGGTCTGGAGTTGCATCCAGGCACCCAGGGCCTCACTCATGCTTCCCCGATGCTCTGGCCAGTGCGGAGCGAGGGCTCTGCAGAAGCTTCTCTGAGGTACTAGCCACGCACCAGGAAGCAGGGCTGACCGCCTGCAGCTCCCCATCACTCCGCCCATCGCCTCCTCACCCTGCAGGCATCCCGACCCAGAGCTCAGCAGATAGCCTGTGACCATCTGCTGACGAGCATTCTGAGCTAATCATGCCTCATTTCACAGACTAGAAATACGTTTACCATGGGAATTTTCTAAATTAGTACCTTTTTAAAACGAATCCAAATTAAATGGCCAACTATGAGTCGCCCTGACTATCCTGACACAGTACATGGTAGAAATGGCATTTCGTTATACAATATGGCTATCATGTTATTTTATAATATAACATGTATTCACACCTATTTAAGGGTTTACCACTTTTCCCAGTGGATTTTAAGGCTGCTGAAATCAACAGCACAAGACAAAACAGGGCTTTTTGAAATAACAAAGAAATGAGGGTTCATAAAGTTTATAAAAACATGTAACCTATATTTTCTCCACTCAGAGTTTTCAAATGTCCTTGAAGTGTAAATGCCATTTTAAGAGTTCCAATGGTCACCCTCCAGTGAGACCTGTGAGAACTAACTGAGTGGTCGCCTGTGTGCGTCCTCTGTAAAGAGTAACCTAGTCACCGCTGGACGGAGGGAGACACGGCACCAGCAGCTCTGGAGACGCTCAGGACCCCGGCCACTCCGGAGTGGGTGCGGGGAGCAGGCGCGGCGAGGGGCCCGCAGTGCGCACAGCAGCCCCAGGGCGTGCCCGGCACAGGTCTAGGCTGTGGAGGGGACACCTGCTTCTTTCCACCTGCCCTGACTGGTGCACAATGGAAGTTGAAGGCTGATACAAATGTACGCGTACATTCCAAGCACACTTCCAACGGCGTGCAAGTATGTGCCGGGGACTCCTACCTCTCTCAGACAGCCTACGTGCCTCCCCCACATTTTGGCCACCTGGTTCTATCCATGCTGTGAGTCGAGGAACAGAGAGCTCACAGCTGCTACGGGGAGAATGAGAAGGCTGTGGCTCTGTCCAAGTCTACTAGCCTTTTAACATTAAGTTCTAGAAAAGGTGTTAATAACCACCACCACCACCACCACCACCACCATCACCCCCCGCCCCGAAAGTGACAGGGCGTCCGATAAGGGAGGCAGGGGCCGTGTCACTCCACAGTCTGGAAAGGATGCTTCCAGGCCCTTCGTACCAGGACGTCCCACAGGAGCGATGGATCATGTAGACGAAAATCCCAGGCCACATGTTCTCAAAGGGACCGATGTCAAAGTGGAACCTGAAAAGGAACGCAGAGAGGCTCGGTTTACGCCTACATCAGTTCACACACACCAGCGAGAGAGAAAGCAGGTCACTCTGTCTCCTGCCTGTCACATCTCTGCTGTACGGACAGGTTTCCAGAAGGAAATCCACTCCTGCCTTCAGGAACTTAGTGCAATATATGCTTAATGGCCACTGCTTAATTCTCTATCAAACAGTCTGTAAAAAAGGGATGCTGTGGTTACTATCAGAGCAATGAAAAAGTAAAAAAGCTATATTATGAAAAATGCACAGACATTACGTAACTCATAGATGAGGGGATAAAAAAGATCATAAAAAATTTTAGAGTTGAAGATTATCCTAACTTCTCTTTAAATCCACAGGGAAAAAAATTCATAAATATTATATGAACACAACCAAAGTTTTTACCTATTTTTAATTTGCTAATTTACTGACATTTAACCTAAATAAACAGAGTGGCATATGGTATAGTATTTTAAAAAAACATCCTCCAGTCATAACGTTTCTGACACCAAAGGTGTGAGTTTTCTGCACCAAGCAGTTCTCCAGTCCTCTGTGGACACCAATGATGCTCACAATGCAGCTCAGTCTGAGCCGCCTGGAATTAGCAGAGCCCAGGCCCAGTCCTCAGCCCCCCGGACTGCCCCTCACTCTACAGAACAACTGCAAGTCCGGGCACCATTTCCGGCCAAGCAGCTACGAAGCTGAGGTGTGACTCCAAGGAGCACTTTGCTTACTACTTGGGGTTCACTAGGAAGGAAGGACGTCAGGAGGAGACGGGGCGGGGGAGTGAGGGAGAGGGAGGCACAGGCCAGCTGTGGGCAGGGGCACTGGCTCCATGCTCTCAGGCTCCCCCTCCCCAGGATGGGATGCGTGTGCGGACAACTCTCGAGCCCTATTTCAGGGTTTTCCTGGAGGCCTTCCTCCAGGCATGACTACTAAGTCACTGGCCTTTGATGATGACCTCATCCCCACCTCCTGCACCCCAGAAGTCCTAATCACATGACTGTTCCTGCTCCGCCCCATGTACAGATTCATGCACCAGTGGGGTCCCTCGGCCTGGCCTGGGGGATGGGGCCAAAACTGGCTCTCCAACATCCCCTGAGGGATCTGATTATGCGAGGGCGGTTCTTGGGTGATATACCCCAAAATTAGGCTCCCTCCTGTCTGGCTCCAGGTGTGTCACCCGAGAACCGCAGCTGCCAAGTCACTGCAGCTCTGCAGTTCCTGTGTTGAGCGTCTGCCCCCTGGCGGTCAGTGCACGTCATGGCTACTGATCGGATGGTTGGATGGTCACTTACCGGTAGGCTTTTACATAAATTCGAGAGGCCCGATGCACACAATTCGTGCTCAGGGCTCAGCCCTGGCAGCCGAGGCAGCTGCCTCAGCCCACGCTGCCTTGGCTCTCACAGCCCAGGCTTTGTCCTGAAGGTCTTCCCGCTGTCCAGTCTAATTAGCATATTATGCTTTTAATATTATGGACAGATGTATACTATATATATCATTAAAAGATAAACTAAGACAGAACTGACATTTTATGAGAGGATCTGAGCAAACATCAGTTCAACCAGCAGTGCCAGCCCTGAAGTGGTGAGGAGGGCTGCACCCAGGGGAGGGAAACCACAGAGAAGGGGCAGCAGAGAGAGGCGCTCACTGATTGGCTGTAGCAGAGAGAGGCGCTCACTGATTGGCTGCAGCAGAGAGAGGCGCTCATTGACTGGCTGCAGGTGAAGTGGCTGGCTCTTTGGAATTGGACTGTCCCAGTGTTTCTACCTGTTACCTAGGCCACCAGGGCAGTAAGACTGCCTCATTCAGGGCCTCCTTGTTTAATTGGCACCACTGTATGCCCCGTTAGAAAGCAACCATCAGCTCTGGATCACTTCTGGGAAGTTTCTATGCCGTTAGTGTTGGCTTGTTCTTGCAATGGGTGTACACATTACCAGAAGTTCTACCACCAGCAATTGTATATATTAGCACAGAGCATAGGCTTGGAAAACAAATTGTAAAAGTTGAATTATTAGCTTTTCCAATTTGTAATTGTAAAATTATACAGAAAACTGTTGGAATCTGATATTAAATGCCATTTAGACATTAACTATCATATAGTGTTAACTGTACAAAAGACTAAAGAGGACAGCTAACATTTAGGTTAACTCATTTCAAAATTGCGTTGTGTTTTTTTAAATATGAGACCCGGACAGAGTGTACCGGAATCCCCTCGCGAGGGAGCAGGGGCAGCGTGCGGCGGCACCGGCACTGCGGTATCCGTGCCCCTGCCCTGTGGCCGGCTCCCTCCCGGCGCGCGGGGGACTCACAGCTCCACCTCCTTGCAGAGGCGCCCGGGCAGCGTGAAGCGCATGAGGCCCTGCCACTCCTCGGCCGTGCAGATGCTGTGGTAGGACAGCTTCTCCATGGTCACGCGGTAGATGCACTCCGAGTGGCGGATCCGGTGGTACATCTGCAGGCAGACGGGGGGGAGAGGGGGGGGCGACGTGCGTCATTACAGTTCAGGGCCTGGCCGGGGAGAAGCGGAGCAGCGACTAGCACCACCTCCACCCGTGAACCTATTCCATTTCTACCTCCACGAACCCTGCAGCGCCCCACACATGCGGCCTGGCGGGGACAGAATAGAGGACCACGTGTGTGTGAAAGGCTGAGTAATATTGGAACAGCTGTCTTTTTGTTGTCGTTAATCCTCACCCAAAGATATTTTCCCATTAATTTTTTAGAAAGAATGAGAGAAGGAAAGGCAGAGAGAAATATTGATGTGAGAGAAACACATCGATTGGTTGCCTCCTGCACACGCCCCAACCAAGGCCTGGGAAGGAGCCTGGAACCAAGGTATGTGCCCTTGACCGGAATCGAACCCGGGACCCTGCAAGCCGACACGCTATCCCCTGAGCCACACCGGCCAGGGCCAGCTATCTTTACCAGCCTTCTCTCTGGGAGGGCGACTGGCTATTCCCCGGCTGGCACCTCATCCTTGGACTCGCAGTGACAGGCACGAACACTCAGACCGCCGTCTAGAAGCCGTGCGGTGGAGACAGGCAGAGACCGAGTGAGTCAAGAATGAAGGTGTCTTTTCTGGCTCCTTTTACAACGTGGAGCTTCATCCTGGGTGATGTCGGCCCTCCCGTCCAGGAGTCCAGGTGCTTGACTGTGAGGGCCTTCGCTGGTCAAGAATATGGAGACTTGGGCCCAATACATGGACATTCCTTTAGCAACTGTGTGCACATGCACTGCGCTGACAGGTCACGTGCTTTATAAAAACACACTGGAATAGACATGTTTAAACGTACATATGGTCATGCTTACTGCACACGGCCTTCTGTTTACTAAACAATGACAGACATTAACATTAAAATAACAGCACTGTAAGGTAACTAAGAGCCTGTTATCAGTCGGCATGCTCTTTTACTCCTCGGTGGGGTGGTGACACTGACGTCCTCTCAGTTTCACGTTTCCCGGCTGGTTTTCAGAGCGCTGGAGGCATGTGGATCCCAATGGAGCGACGCTCATCCTGCCATTTCTTAAATAGCCACTGTAGCTTCGTTCCCTAACAGCTAACATTTTCGTTGAAACTCAGATACATTTCTGTGTTCAGGAATCTCAATCAGTTAATCCTGGAAACTCAGCAGCTGAGTGTTCATGTAAGCAGAGGCTCACAGCTGTGAGTAGAGGAAGAGAGCTCGTTCTTGTGTTCCAGTTGATCACTGTGCTATTGTCCATTCGGACAACTTCTGCCCACCCTGGACCATCCAACAGGCTCAAGCCGAGAAAACAATGGCAACCATCTGTCTCCCAAGTGCCCTCTCCGGCACGGGAGCTGGTTGGGAAAGCCATTACTTTCTTGTTTGGGGTTAATGCCGCATGCTGTGGCCGTGAGCAAAATCCGTAAGCCCCCTGTGTCCACTTTCCTCAGCTCATCTGGAGTCAACGTCAGAGAAACTGCTGCAGTGAGACTCTCCATGCTTCCACCTGCTCGTGAGTGGGAGCAACGCTGGTGGCCCTTCACCACAAAAGGGACAGCCAGGCACACGTGGTGCTGCACCTCGGGGCAGAGCAGGTTCCGGACACAAAGTAAGACGGCTCCAAGGGCTCTGGGGGTCAGACTAGAGCTGCCAACATGCAGCCAGGGAACAGAGAGAAATGGACACAGAGGCTTCTGGGTAAACTCTTGGCTGAGACAATGAGACACAGGGGCACGTCCCAGGGGGGTCACCATCACCGGGAATGGGAGGTACCTGCCGGCAGGGGTTCAAAAGCACTTCACTGTGATATTCCCGTCAAAGTTATAACCTCAGAGCAGGTTATAACCAGTAAACAGCAGGCGAAGCAAATTGAGAACTCCTAAAAGTGACTGGCCTGCATGCTTCACTGCCCCTGGCTGCAGGACGGAGAGGAGGGGAAGGCCCAGGGTCGGCTCCAGTACCTAGCACAGGGCTGGGTGTGTCCCCACAGCTCAGATGTTGAGACGTTAGCCCTTCAAATGTGCCCGTGTTTGTAGACTGGGTCTTTAAGAGGTAATCAAAGCAAAACGAGGTCAGCAGGGTGGGCCCTGACCCAATACAACGAGAGTCCTTGCAAGGAGAGGAGCTTGCAGACAGAAATACTGAGGAGGAGCACACACACGGTGCGTCAGAATAAACGTGGGTGGGCAGCAGAAACAGATGCGGAGAGGGAGGAGGGTGATGCTGCCTTCCCCGTCACTGGCGCTTGCCCCTGCTTTTTAAACCGGATGTGTAGGTACCAAGTTGCTACAGCGCTTGGATTCCACTGGATTCATGTAAAAGATAAATCATACTCAAAACATACTGAGCTACATTCTCTGCAACTCTGAAGCTAAACAGAGGCAAGCCGTCAGTCACTGTTTTTTATTTATGGGGGAGACAGAACCTGAAAAAAAGATAGCTGATACTGTTTCTTTCTAATGAGCCACGCAACACTCAGTGTCCCCAGCAGAGGGCGGCCTGGCACCGCAAAGGAAGCTGAGCTCTGAGCTGTTTTCCTCAGCCCGCGAAGTATTCTTACCGTGATTTGGGGTCGTAGACCTGTTAAGCGGTTTCCATTAATTACCAAATTAATCCTCTGGAACGTGGTTCCATTTACAAAAACGCTACTTCTCTAAATTATTGAAGTAATAACTTCCATTTCTACTGACTGCACTTTATCAGAAAGTTAATAAAATGTTCCCTAACTTCTAAATCCCAGTTCTGTCATGAAAGGAATCCTGAGGTTTAAAACAGACCAAATGTCCCACTCACTGAAAATGGAAAAGATGGAAAATTCAACTGCTCTAACGCGAGAGTGCACAGGGTGAGTGGAAGCACCTGCAGTGGCATGCAGGCAGGACGGGGAGCACCTGCTCCTGGCACCGCCCTCCTCCCAGAGGCGGCACCGTGCCGACACAGAGGCTCTGAAAGCGCCTCCTCGCTCCTCTCCATGGACGTGAGGTTTGAACATTTCACCTCGTTTAACCTCTCCAACACCCCCCCCCACCTCCCAATATATTTTTATTGAATTTCAGACAGGAAGGGAGAGGGAGAGACAGAAACATCAATGATGAGAGACAATCATTGAGAATCATCCATCGGCTGCCTCCTGCACACCCCCTACTGGGGACTGAGCCTGCAACCTGGGCATGTGCCCCTGACCAGAATCAAGCCCACGACCCTTCAGTCCTCAGTCCAATGCTTTAACCACTGAGCCAAACTGGCTAGGACAATTTCAACTATTTAAAGAACAAATTCTCACCTTGAAATAAATGCAAAATACTAGGGGATTTTTTTTTTCTAAGTTTGAGCCACCAGGAACTAGTTTAATGAAGGAATCTTAAATGGCAAAAAGACACCCTCACACTACGTTATTCCCATCGTTTTAAAGCTACTATTGAGCAGTGAGGAAGGTATTAAAAGCAGGGCTCACGTTGGCACAGTGCAAGGCTAACGCACAGAAGACGGCGAACATCTTGAAGTTGTTCTCGTCCGTTTTGGAGAAGGCGCTGCCGCTGATCTTGTTCACCATCTGCACCACGCCGATCACGCTGCCTCGGCTCACGATGGGCATGCACAGGATGTTGCGTGTGGTGTAGCCCGTGTACAGGTCCACCTCCCTGTGGGGGGGAGGGGGACAGGCAACCACACACACACAAAAAACAGAAGGTAAATGACTTATTCTACCATAAAGCTCAACTCCGCTTTGCAAGTTACATGCTCCTATTACAAATACCTCTAATGGAGCCGTCAGCTTCCAAATTCAAGGACACGTGGCATTTGGAAGTGTCCTCCTTAAACCTTTTCAAAAACATTCTAACTAGTTTGTTCTTTGTTCTCAGAGCTTTTCAGAACAGGATCCAGAGGCTTCGGCTTACTGCTCAGTTTGAAGGACCCAGCATTACTGGGAAAACACCAACTGTCCATCCAGAGGAAACTAGAATCAATGTGGTAAGCGAGCATGTGCCTTTGGCCCTGGCTACACTGCGGTGAACTTCTGAACAGGCACACATGGGCGCGCAGAGCGGCCGCACCAGCGCTCCCGTCTGCACAGAGCTCTGGTGGACGAGGCCACAGCCCTGAACACTGCGCCCAGCCCAGCAGACGCCACGGCCTGCAAAGCCCAGAGCACTGCTCTCTGGTTCTCAAAAGTTTGCCAACTTTGATGTCAAGGAAAGTAAGGCTGAAAGTAAGACTCTGCTCCACAGAGGCAGCCGTGACGTTAGGCAACCAGAGGCATGGGTCAGTGTGCCTGGCTTCTCCCAGAGGCCACTGTTCACAGACAGCCACGTGGCTGGTGGAGCGGGGTCAGCCCTCTGATGGCCGAGCAGGAACCTATGGTCAGGATGTTTCCTCACTCGTTCACCAGCTCACGGACATGGCCAATGAGTGACCCAGCGTGAAGCAGCATGAACAATGCCGCGCTGAAGACTGGCTTCTACTCTGTGGACAGGGGTCTCACCCAATAGAGCTGACCAAAAATAATCAGCATCTGCTTATCTTTATGAGGAACCACAATTGCTTTCCGAAGTGCTGTGCTATCCACCTGCAAAGCAGAGCATCGCAGGCCCTCGGCCGTCAGCCCTTGTTAATGCCCATCTTTGAAAATCTCAGTCCTTCCGTCGGTGTGTAGTGGGATCTCACCCTCAATTAAGTTTCTGTTCCCTCACCTCAAAAGTCCTGCGTTTATTGGCCGTTCACAGCTTCTTTTGTGCGGTGCCTGCTAAGACCTGTGCCCTATTTATCAAATAGAGTTTGTGATGTTTTTGAAAAAGCAGATACTCAGCATAGTCTTTATTGATAAAACATCACTAGAAGAGATACAATCTGTGTTTATATCCAAGTTGCGTGTGTTTGACGTTAATCAAAAAATACCGGATAGAACTTCCTGTTGTTTATTTTACTTAAGTGTCTCTTAAAATAAACTGAATGTCTGGTCAAAATATCTGAACTATAACACCCTAATAATCATAGCAGCAATCTCAAGACTCAATTTCTAGATTTATTAACATTATTATTACACGATTTGGTTTCTATAATAGTTCTCCAAAGAAACACAGAACAGAACAGAACAGAACGGAACCCTCTGTCCTCCTGCTCCGACTCTCAGCCTCTGGCCGCAGAGAGCAGCAACCGCAGCCATCCCCTTTCCCGCGCGGCGTGTCGGCACAGCCGACAGGCGTCTGTAAGTATCTCCTCTCCTCGTAATAAACACAGAGCCACAGAGAGGCATAGCCGCAGCCAGGTTGAAGAGGAGGAAACTAAGGCTCAGAGATGGAGTCACTTACCAGGTCACCCAGAGCCCTAAGTGACAGGATAGTCACCCTAAAGAGGCCCGTACGCCTGGGTGCTACCAGAGTGGGCAGGACAGAGTGCTGGCACCACAGAAACAAGCAGCTGTGTGACAGCACAGGTTTGCTTTTGTTGCTTTTACAGTGTTTTAAACCCGTTAGCTGGGAATCACTAACGGTCTGGTGCCATCATCTGAAATATCGGAAAGCACTGACTCCTGATACAGGGCCGCTGCAGAGAATCCCCAGAGCTGAGAGGAAAGGAGGGACTTCGATGGGGTGTGAGCTCGGGCTGCACAGCCACCTCAGCCAGGGCTCTCGGCCAGGGGTCTCGCCCAGGGCTCTCAGCCAGGGGTCTTGGCACAGGGCTCTCAGCCAGGGGTCTTGGCACAGGGCTCTCAGCCAGGGGTCTTGGCACAGGGGTCTCGGCCCAGCGGGCAGGAGGGCAGAAGCCAAGGGGGGACAAGAGCTGCTTGCTGACCTGTTGAAGCGCGGGTCTGCGTAGGCATCCGGAATGTTCAGCACTTCCCCCGTCCTCGCTACCTGGCCAGCAATCCCTTTCTCAATGGAAAACCTGCCAACACAAGAGAGGAGCATGCTCACTAAGCACAGATGCTGTGGCCCACTTTGAAACTGCCTCCTGCCACCAAACATTGAACAGAAAAGCACTTTAAATGCTTGGGTCCACTTTACATTCACACATTCTAAACCATATTATTATAAACTGTGCAAAGAGAAAGCAGAAAAACATTGCACAGTAGTCACTTGAGACCTTGGTTTTAAAATATAATTCAAAATATGTGAACTTATACTGAACCACAAATTGAAACTGAAAATTAATTAGCATTCTCCTGCACTAACCAATAGCAATCCTTCGTATTGACAATGTACATTATCATTTACAATACGCTTCGACCTACATTTTCTGCGTTAATTCTCACTGTGGTGGGAACTGAGGCCCATATGGGTTCCGTAATTTGCTAAAATTTGTAACATGTCAATGGTACAAGGAAAGCACGAACACAGCTCTCTAGCCGTGCACGCCCTACCACACATATAACTAGAACCACACGCTACTGATTTCTGAGAGAGGACATGACTGGAATGCTAAGGCATTTGCAATTACAGCACGCTATAAAAATAACACACGTTAACACTGCTCGTGTTTTTATTTCTCTAAGTTGTTAAATTTAAAAATAGTCCAAACACAAGCATTGTCTATACTTAGGTTTTGATATTTAATATCAACATTTTCTATTATAAACAGGTTCTCTCATAGTTTTCTGATACAATATTATCATCAGTCATGCACTTATTTTGAAATGTAGTTATTAGCAAAGATGTCTGCAATGCACACATCGTCATACTTCTGCAGCTAGACAGAACTTTATCCTGGTTTCCACTTTACAGGAGATCAGCATTATTGAATAAAGCTCCACCCCAATGACTGTCATGGAAAATAGTCAAAAGAAAGTGAGTGTGACACTGACGGCACGGAACAAGATCGCCTCCAGGTTGCGTTTTCCTGGGCTGGGACCCGCGTGGCCATGGCAGCGCTGACGCCGGAGCGGGAGTCAGAATGCACTGTGGGATCTGCGCGGGACGGCGTGGTCAGGGGTGGCCTGACTGTCCCTTTATCCCCACCTCAGGCGGCTGCCCCGCAAACACATCCCGGCGGCTGGCCCCTCACTGTCCACAAGGGCCCATCTCGCACATGAGGGCACCAGGGCTTCCGCCAGAGAAAGGACTTCACCTACAGACCAGATCCAGGCTGACTGAATATCACAATTAAAATCCTAGGCAGTGCTTGTCAGCCGGTCACATGAGTGGAATATAGGACTCTCCCCTAGGGCCGTGGTCGGCAAGCTGCGACTCAAGAGCCACATGTGGCTCTTTGGCCCCTTGAGTGTGGCTCTTCCACAAAATACTATGGCCTGGGCGAGACTACTTTAAAGAAGTTTAAGTTTAAAAAATTTCAATCGTTGTCCTGTTGACATTTGGCTCTGTTGACTAAGGAGTTTGCCGACCACTGACCTAGGACCTAAAGCAGGGCTGCCCACTGGGGGGCAGTGGTGAGCGCCTGCAGGATCATGTGGTCCTCTTCACGCCTGGTCAGCCCTGTGGGACAGACAATGGCCCAAATCAACAGCGGTTCCTAGTGAACAAGGACACTGCTTTCCTGGGTGCTGTGACCACCAAAGCATTTAGAGGGTTGTGTGAGAGCCGTTACACAAAGCACATAAAGAAGAAAAAAATGAAGAAAAAAAAAAAAAGAAAATCCATGTTTGATTCCCACAGTCCTGACAGTGCTCCCTGCAGGCGTCGGACTGCGACAGGACGGAGCCTGCCAGCCACACAGACCCGCTCCGCTCCATGACAAAAGCTGCCACTTACAGCACGAAGGCAGCTTTGGTGTCAAGAGGCAACAGGAGTGTCACATGGCCGATCACACCGCCTGCTCAGTGACAGGACAGAGCTGACGTCACCAACACTGCAGCTCAGCGCCACTGCGGCTGGCCTTTGAGAGGGCGGCCTGGTGCGGAGAGCGGGCGCCCCGCGAAGCTCGCCTGCCGCTAGACACAGGGAACCTGCCGCCTCCATCCAGGCGGGCGCCTTTACCTACCTGGGAGCACTAGTCAGTTTTTCCAACATCATTTCCAAAAGGACCGCCTCCGAAGACGGCGTTTCCGGGGGACGCTAACCTTCTGGTGCGGTTGGCCGGCACTGCAATGCCATCCCAGAAGCACTGCCTTCGGGAGGCGGGCCTGGTGGGAGTGATACCACAGTGTGACAAGCGTCAGCGCACCTGCGGGCAGAGCGGGGCAGGACCTGGCGCTGCACGCGGCAGCCGCGCTGTGTACCTGATCTCCTTGGTCTTCTTGAAGACGGGCCTGCCCTCCTTCACCTCCCCGATGTCGAAGAGGTCCGAGTACAGCTCCTGGTTCTTGTGGTCCACCTGGAAGAGGGCGCAGCGGTCGGCGTTCACCAGGTTCTTGGCATAAATCTAAGGGCAGACGGTAAAGCACTGGTAAGCCAACGAGAAAGGCATCAATTTCGCATCAGAAATACATACTCAGTTCAGCTATAGCAATAAAATAAAGTAAAAAACAAACACATGATTATCTCAATGAATGCGGAGAAAGTGGAGGTTGAAACCCAATTATGATTTTAAAAAACTAGGAACAGAAGGAACTTCCTCAATCTGATAAAGACCATCTACAAAAAAAAAACACAACAAATATACTTCACAGTGAAAGACTGGATACTTCTCCTCTAAAATCAGCAATAAGACAAGGATGTACACACTCTCAACCTCTACTCAACATCGTGCTGGAGGTTCTACACAGGACAACTCCACGGAAAAATAAGGGCATCCAGCTGGGACAGGAGAAAGTGAAACTACCATCAATTCTAGACGACATAATTCCACCCACAGAAAACCCTAAAGAACCCACTTAAGAAACTACTGAGGATAATGATCACATCAAGTTTGAAGGATACAAGATCAATAGACAAAAATCAATTTTACTTCTATACATTTTTAATAAAAATATGATAACAAATTTAAGAAAGGCAATTCCATTTATAATAGCATTAAAATAAAATATTAAGAAATAACTTTACCAAAATAAGAACAATAGTTATGCTTTGGAAATTACAAAAGTAAAGATAATGTAAATAAATAAAAAAAGACCCCATGTTCATGCTGGAATACTAATGTTGTTAAGATGCCAAACTGATCTATGAATTAAACACAATCCCTCTCAGACTCTCATCTGAATTATTTGTATAAACTGACAAGCAAATTTCTAAAAGGTATACGAAATTGCAAGGAACCAAAAATTATTGAAAAAGAACAAATTTGGAGGACTGTCACTTCCCAAAACTTTCTACCAAACAACAGTAACCCAGACAGTGTGACACTGTCCTTGAGGAAGACAGACAGATGGCGGGATAGGACCAAGAGCCTAGAAATGAGATGACGTGGAGGTGAAGTAGCGGGGACCTCCATGTCAGGAAGATTCGGCTGGGAATTCTCTACCAGCACATGCACAAAGGCCTTTGGAGACCATAGAAAGAAACTCAATGTTTTCAAGGTATAAATATTTCCATGCTCGCCACTAAGTAAAAAAAAACCTCTGAGGTATTTTTCAAAACATTACTTGACACCCACCCTCCAAATACATAGAAGTGACCCCAAAACCCAGGCAACACCTCCGGATCCCTTCTCACCCCTTTAGACGTTGGTACATTAAATGCCTGGTACATTACACATCCACCATACACTAGGCGTGACTCTAAGGTAGTAAAAGCATTGTCAAAACAAACAGCAACCTACCATTATGTGTTCCAGTAGAGAATCTATGGCGACTATGTTATCAAAATACGTTCTGCAAGAGAGGACAGGAAACGGTGAGCGACCTCAGCGAGAACAGAGCTAGGGCACTTTGAGCACATCCCCCAGGTGTGTCCTCACTGAAATGAAAGCATAACGATATATGTCTGATTCTTGCCATTTCTAGAACAATCCTTAATATTATTTTAAAGAGCTTCACAGAACGTTATCACTGACTTTGGCCTGCAGACTCTCATTTCAGAGGGAGCATTAAGGAATTCTTTCATTGATAAGTACTGATGCAGGAAGGAAATCTGTAGCGTTTAACTAAAAGTAGGAGAGAATAAAACTAGGTTCACTACATGTAATACTGCCATTAATAATTTTGATCTGAAATGAAAAACGTGTAAATGTGCTACACCTCATTAATGTGGCTAAGATGTGAATTTACCACTGAAAACCCGACAGGTTCGAATGCAGCTGAGCTGTACTGAGGCACCAGCGTCACTCACTGAGAAGAAACACCAGAATAAACACGCTGGGGAGGCCGGGGGACATGCAGTGAATATACGTTCAGCAGGAGGAGTGGAAGGAAGTGTTTGGAGGTGGCTGGCACACCCACAAAAACACAGACCTGATGAACAGAGGACTGTCAGGGGGCATGGCATGTAGGGATGTGCCAGTCCCCGCAAAGGCAGCTTCTCAGCGAGGGCAGTGTTGGCGAGGCACGCTTTCAGCCAAGTTTGCGCCCATCCAGCAATGTCCTCGTAATAAGGACAGCGTATAAACAAACGTGCCTTTCACCTAAAGACGTCGTTAGCTGGAACACACTAAGACTTAGGCTCAGGGCCCCGCACACTGAGGAGCACATGGCCAGGAAGCGGGAAGCAAACTGGTTACCCCACCAAGCAAAGTGACATGTCACAGGCGGGAAGGAGCGGGGTTTTGGAAAATTCACAAGAGATTCAAGCCCACGGACAAGAAAGGCGTCCCTCGGGATGTGTTCTGAAATGGTATCACGTGCCCCACAGCTATTATTTCACTTTATCTCAACGATTAGGGGATCAAAGAGGATCTTCTTCAATTTCGTGTTTCTCTAACTTCATATTTAAGAAACTAAGTGTAACACACAGCAGCGGCTTCAGATTAACTAGTCACGAACGCCAGGAGAGCGGGGAGGGTAGAGCAAGCAAGCCCGAGGGCTGCTGGCAGCCTGGAAGGCAGGCAGCTCTCCCGGTGTGACCCTGACCGCACCTGCGGCAGCCTCAGGCCTCGAGGGCAAGCACAAGCGGGACCCCTGTGCACCTGGGCTCCATCAAGTTCCTGGTCCTGCTGCCACCCCTGTCCGGAGTTTCTCAGGTCCAGCCTCGGGCGATGGGCCTTTTCTCTAAAATCCTGTCTCAGCTACTGTACACAGGAAAATTAAATAGTAATAATAGCATTTCGCTGACTTTTACAGAAAATGCCAGAGAGGTCTTTTTGAAAGGAACTAACTAGGACATTCCTCTCTTCTGCTGTTAGTTTTCTCCCACAAACAGACACCCCGTGTCTGAACCATATGCATAACCCATGGACACATGGGGGGGGGGGAGTAGGGTGGAAGGGCCAATGGGGGGAGAAAGGGGACACCTATAATACTTTCAACAATAAAGATCCATTAAAAGAAACGCACAGCAAACTGCAGATGAGAACCATCGCCTAACTGTCCCGCCCCTCCCCGGCAGCGTGAGGGAGGGAGGGAGGACAAGAGTGCCCCCAAGCCTCTCGGTCCACCAACTGTCCAGTGCAGTCACCAAGAGCAGCAGCCGCCCGCCCCCGAAGCGCACACTCACTTTGACACGTCGAGTAGAAAGTCATTCAGCTCAGTCTGTTTGGCGAGGCCTCTGCATAGCTGCGTGGGAAACAAAGGCCATTAAGGATAGCAGACATTTGCCTCTTTACAAGTCACCATTCCAGACCACCACCGACCTTGTTTCATGTAAAAGGTAGAACTCCATCAATCCCAGCTCATTTTTCCTGAAGGCTTAGATGTGCTGACAAGCACTTGGTACTCAGGACCTCCTCTGAGCACCACGAGCCCTGCCGGTGAGGGGCTGCCTGTGTAGCTGAAGCGGGAGGAGCTCGGAGCCTTGCTCAGACCGGAGCGGGGCGGGGTGCGGGGTGGGGTGCGGGGTGCGGGGTGCGGGGTGGAGCCAGCATCTGGTCCAGGCACTCTGCCTCCAGCGCTCACTCTTCCAAACCCTTCCCACTTGGCAAACTGACGTGGGCACATCTTCCATCCACTCTCTCGTGTCAGCTCCCACGTCCTGCTCCTCAGCCCCGTTCCCCACACTTAGGACTTTCTCTGCATCGCCCGGTCCCTCATTGACCCAAGCTGGCCGTGGGGACTCAGAAAAGCAAAGCACGAGGAGCAGCAGCGAAGATATAATACAACGCAGAACTGGTCCCGCGTACCCTGAGCTTCACAAGTCCAGCCCCACGAAAGCTGTGCAGTGTGTGAGTGAGGTGTTTTTTCTGAAATTCAATGTTCATGTTTCCATACACCATTGGGTGGAGAGGATGCCTGGACTTAGGAAACGGAGTCAGAGAAGTATCAATGTCCCTACCAGGAGGAGATTGATCCTGGGCTTTCGGGGGAAACAAAAATCCCAGTAGGACACATACCCTTTATTGCATAAACGATGAGCAACTGTATATGAGTGTATAAAAATCACCGCCACTTCGTGAAGCCAGCGGTAAGGTTTCAGAAATAACAACATCGCTAAGATGCAAGCAGAAAGCCGGGACAGGGACCCACCTGCACCTGGTGAATGGCGACCGACGCCCAGGCGAGGTTCGCTGTGGCCACCTAAGGGGAGAGAACACGGTTAGCCGGGTGCGCCAGCCACCGCGTGCAGGAACACTGTCTGAGGTGCCAGCACAAAGCATCCTGTGTTATGACAGAACCTCTCTCTCGCATCCCTCCTGCCTTTACAATGGAACTAGGTGCTTCCTTGTTCCCCTTCATTTTGGATAGAAAGGAATATAAATGGGTTAAAAGAGTAGAGTCCACGGACTTCAATATAAAATAATTTTAGTGTAATAACAATAGTATTAAAAAGGCCTATAACAGCAACTCTACAATGAAGCATTTCCAAAACTTTGCTCACGAGTGCTCACATTACTCACTATTCTACTTCTGCTACCCATTCACCTAGCAAGTATTTACCTGGTATCCACCAGGTGCTGGGCACTGTCCTCGGTGCTGAAGACAGGACCCAGGGACACAGAATAGCTGACTGTGGGGACAGAAAAGGAGAGCTCAGCCAGCATGGCTCAGTGGCTGAAAGTCAACCTATGAACCAGGAGATCACAGTTCAATTCCCGGTCAGGGCACATGCCTTGGTTGTGGGCTCCATCCCCAACGTGGGGCATGCAGGAGGCAGCCGATCAATGATTCTCTCTCATCAATGATTCTCTCTCTCTTCTTCTCTCTTCCTCTCTGAAATCAATCTATAATAACAAGAAGGAAATATGATAATTAGACCTCATGTCCTTCCAGGTGAAGCCACCTGGGTCCCGGGTGCTGGCCTGTGGCTAGAAGGAAGTAGCCTGGGTCCCAGGTGCTGGAGGGAATTTTCCTAGTGCATTGGGCTCTAGTAAAAATATAATTGAAAAAAAAGGTAAGAAAGAGCAAGCGCGTGCACAGCGCATCAGCTGGCAGTGGAGCCGCAGAGAACCGGGAACAGGAATCGGCAGTGAGGACAGGAGCAGGGGAGCCTCGGTGTGCACACGCTCCGGGAGGCTGCCTGGGGGGCCACAGGAAGCACCCCTGCAGAAGGGGCGGGAGCTGGGAAGGACAAGGACACACACAGGCTCTGACTAGGAGCCCTGCAGCCTTGTTCCAGGGGCTGGTGCAGGAGGGGACAGTGGGGACAGGGTGTGCCATCGGGCAGTGGACAGGTGCAGCCATGAGGGTGTGGCAGGCATACTGCAATGTTCATTGATGTATTGATGAGCCAAACCCCGCTCAGGGAAGAGGGACAGAATGCACTGTCCTCCGCATGGATCTAGTGCTGGCACCTCATGCACGACAGCCTCAAGGAAGCTAAAGTTTTTAGGAAAATGTGAGACCTCCAGAATATGGGAACTGTCTGGAGTTAATCTCTGCTTTGTCTGGTTTACAACAGGACGTCCTCTTACTTTTATTGTCTCAATGGATTCTCACTTTAAAATGCCTGATTTCCAATTTAATCAGTCCCCTCTCTAAATAACCAGAAAACAAAACAAGTTTTAAAAGTCATTAGTATAGAATCAAAAGCAAACTATGGCTTTAACTATTTATTCATTCATTCATTCATTCACTGCGACTCTGACGGAGCACCTCAGCCAGCACAGCCCCAGCCCTGCCGCCTCACCTCCTGCTGGCGCAGGGAGAAGGAGTCCTTGCCCCAGTGCCGGTACAGCTCCAGGATGCCTACCAGGTCGCCAATCGCCGTGACGATCGGCAAACAGAGAACAGACTTGATCCGAGTCCCTGATTCCAGTCCAGTACCGCCTGGAAATCGTTCATCCTGGAAAATTAAATGGGGAAAGGTAGCAGCTCAGTAAAATGAATGGAATAATGCACTTATGGTCCTTATTCCTGTGAAATCACCTCATATTCAATAACAAGCAGACCCTTTCAAGGAAAAGCCAAGGGACCACGGCCACCATCGGCAGTGCTTCAGGAAACTGTTGTCAGCAGTGTGGCTCCTGGACAAACCAGCCCTGAGTCTTAGCTTTGTGCAACAGGCTTCACCCACTCACACACATTCATTTCATGCAATAACCAAAGAAAGGGTGATGGCTAACATGTTATTCACCACCTGCTACAGTTCTAGGACTTCTATAATGGTGTGTTAAGTACAATGCCACAAGTGAACATTCAAATGTAAGTATCATATGAAGGAAATTATATATTAAATGTTTCTCTTCTATTTTGAAGGTTAGAATAACACAAAAGTGGATGTTCATGATAGTCCTTTTACCTGAACCTCAGACTGATATTAAATATTCAAGTCACCCAATAATTGTCAATTTTTTATCAAAAGAAAAATTGGTTCTTTGAATTTAATAATTTTCTAGCTTAGCCAAATCTCCCAAATGAGTAACAAGACACTAATTCTACTTGTTCAGTTTCTGTTTTCTGCGAGACACTTTTCATGAATCTAGAACAGCACAAATCTACACTTATAGTATAATTTACAAACCTTTTGGAAGTTTGCATATACAATAGAGCATTTTCAGATGGCTTCAGACAACTTATACAGTATCTACCTTTAATACTTTTTAAAAGTGAAATCTGCTTTGTTTTCTTTTTTTCTAAATAACTAGTTATCTGATTTGTTCAAGGTCACACAGACAGTTGGAGGCAGAACCACAATGAAAACCCACACTTCTGAGTCTTGTTTGGTAGTTTTCAGAGCAAATGGATGGCACCCAGAAACCTGGTGGCACCCCGTCACTCAGAGAACTTCACTTTGTATTACAGTCTCTGCACCGGTGCTTCATCGGGTCCCGAAAACTGCGCTTGCCCCCGGCGTCTGCTCTGGCCAACGACAGGGCAGAACTTGTGATCGGAGCACAGTCTCGGAACCTCACAGGCAGGTCTGACTTCCTCTCCAGGACCCCGGCCGCCACCGTAAGAGTGTGCTAGGCCACCCTCCGAGTGGTGGGGACACACCTGGAGAGCCGCGGCCATCTGAGGCCGGCCAGCTCCGAGGTGTGGCCAGCTAATGGCAGCTGTGTAAGCAATCCAGCCAGGCCAGCCCAGCCCAGCAGGAGGGCCCATCCAGACTTATGGGAACACCAGGTGGTTGTTGTGTGACACCCAAATTTGGGGTCCCCCTGCGATGGCTATCCATTCATGCACATCCTGCTAAAATGTGACCTACCGACAGTTACCACTTAGTCTGCATGAGGATAAATATACATTTTCATGATTAGCTATACTGGCATACACTTAGTGAGCATGTAAGACATGGTTTTCTGAGTACAAAAACTTTGTTCACTTACAAAGTCATGACTGACATGTGTCTTGCTTTGATGCTTTAATAAAATGGCTTAAATTATACCATCAACGTGATAAGTCTTCTCTCTCAATTAACACTTCCCCCCACCTCCTGGAGGGCGGCACTGAGGAGCCACGTACCCCAAGGATGTCTTCCACGAGCAGCGTCTTCCGGGACTTGGCCACGAAGGCGGAGGTGGTGGTGCCATCGGCAATGGGCCCCGCGGGGATGAGCCGGGGTTTGCCCTCGTTGAAGCCAGGGGGCGTGAACACGCACAGGCTCTGGGAGAAGAGAGAACAGTTTGTAGGCTTCCGTGCGCCGTGCATGGGGCAGAGACTCCTGGCGTTTTGTGACAGTCCCGAGGAGGCCGGGTGCTGGGGAGGAGCAGATGCGAGGGAGAGGCGCAGTGGCCGGCCTGGAGCGCCTGAGCTGAAACTCACACCCTCACACACACACAGGGCGATGCGGGACTTGAGTGAATGTGCACAGAAAGGCTCTTCAGTAGCCAGGTTTGTCTCCATAACAATGGCATGGAAGAAAAGGAAGCTGTCCTAGGGCTCAAGACGGTGTCTGACAAGAACCAGACCCACTCTCCCTGCGGCCTGGGCCACCATCTGCAGCGGGTGAGTAACAACGCCCGAGGGTGCGACTCTGTCCTTTCCTGAACCTTCCCTCCTCAGAGCCCAGTCTCCTCCGCACACACAGTCCCTCCCTGCTGGGAGGGGCCGCCTGCCACACGCTGTGAAGGCCGCACTCGACAGCAGTCAGGACCCGGCTCTGCGCACAAGTTCTGGGCGTGTCTGGGGGCACCTGCCCTGTCAGGTGCCTGGGTGGGAGGGTCTAGTTCTGACATCATTTTCAAATTAATGTTTTTAAAAATATGATCCATTATTTTGGCTAAAACAAATCACATCTCAAAGATCTACTAAACCAGAATGGTTCGCCTATGGGCATCCCCTGGGCGCTGGGCAGCACTCTGACATAACTCCACGACAACATAAACCCAACATGGAAACCACTGAGGCTGGGTGATGTCTCCCAGCCGACTGCCATCCTCGATCGGACCGCCGGGCTTCCAGGCGGAAGGCCTGGACCTACAAGCATTGGACCACCTCTCAGGCCAAGCACGTCCCTCTGAGCTCAGGCCAGCCCCATGCTGCTCTAGGGAAAGGCAGGAGTTGGGTGTGTCTATCAACTTTTTAGTTGAGTGGTTTGCAAGCTTTGTAATGTCAGAGACTCCTTTTTCACATAAAATCTCATCTATAATCGCAAGACGTGAGCTGCCTACACTTGGCCCTCCCATGGCGGGAACGAACGGGGAGAGGGCATGGGACACCGGCTGCCTCACACATCACCGTCCTGGCGGGGCAGCTCCGCTCCAGTCACAAGCGCCCTGCCTCAGCCAAGGCAGTGCTCGCGCAGCACTGGCTACTGAGTACGTGACGGTGGAACTATATATTTAAGTGCTTCTCTTTTAAAGTATTTAAATACAAGTCACACACTTTAAAGAATACAAACATTTACACTGTAATACACAAGATGATGAATAGCCATTCCACCTCGTTTATTTTAAAGAGGCCAGATATCGGTCCCTGTGTGTGAAGCTGCTATCGTTCTATGTGCATATGGCACAGAGGCGGCAAGGTCTTCGCTGCGTGTGCCACCTCTCGTCGCAATAATTCCATGTGCGAGACTGGGCGGAGCGTAAAAATGAGTCGAGAACAGGAAGAGAGAGGATTTCAAGACAGACATTTACAGGATGCGGTATATTTGGCTTGCAGACAAATCGGAATGGACGTTGGTTTTCCCAAGCCCTGGGGAAGTCCATCAGGAGGAGGTGCCGGCACTCCTGTCTCCGCCAGACAGGCTCCGGAAATGAACTGCAGGCGAACCGAGAGGCGCAGACGGCTCTTGAGGAGCTTCCCGTACCGGATGGAAGGCCTGTTCCCAGCAGCGCCCAGCAGCAGCTCTTACTGATTATGATGGTGCTGACTGCTGTTTGTCGTTTTGGATGACTTTGCTCAACGCGCATTAAGAATGAATTTAATATTATCTTCACGTTATACTTATAGCATCATAAAAAAAAGCAAGTTTGAAAAAATGATTTAGTGGGAGACAGAACAGACTCTCACAATTTATTTTAAATACCTAATTTTTAAATGAAATGGGAATGTGTGATTCATTACCATCACTAAATCGACAATTCTACTTCCTTTGGTAAACACTTGCTCTCATTTTTCCTTCTTTATGCAATTCAAAGGTCACTTTATTCATGAAACTTCATTTTATGGGAAGGCTCTAACTCACAACCAGTCAAACTTCAGAAACACTTTTAAGAGGGAGCTCTTTAGGTGGACCGTTATTTCTCCCAGGAGACACTAGATGGCGCTAGGTGGCAAGTGAACCCAGGTCCATGAAGATGGCCGAGCCCACCCACAGGCACCTGGAACTGGAAGTAGTAGATCAGTGACTTTGTTTGCTCATTTCTTAAAAATAAACCTGCTAGTTTACTACACAACTGAAAAGCCACACAATTACTGTAAACTCCTGGCTCCAAACTGGCTGCTAAAACCAACAGGCGGACAGCTATCTAGGAACTTACTTGATATATTAAAAACTATTTTTGTATTATTAGACTCTACACGGTGCTCAGCTTTTACAGAGCTCTATGGATAACACAGGAGCACTATTGACAATGCCATGAAGTATGCCAGGTGCCAACCAGCGGGGGGTGTGAGCAGGCATGAGAGAAGAACATAAGAACCCTGAGGGTTGAAGTGAGCCCGGTGTTAGCCATGGAAACACTGGAGTTTCCCACGGCGTTTCTAGAACACCTGGCAGTCACGTGCCAGGCGCTGCTCTGGCCCAAACTCAGCGGCACCTGCTTCCTCTCCCAGCTCCCCGCTCTCACAGGTTCACTTCTTCTCCCCAAAAGGCCTTTATTTCCCCCTCTTACCTCTGAGCAAGGTCTTCCAAGCTCTGCTCAACAGAGCCAATCAGCCAACGGCTTTCAATGGGACCCGCCCCAGCAACCCCCATGCCGGGACTCGGAGCACCGTGGTGCCTCCCTGACCCCTTCAACGCCACGTGCAGTGATTTAGTGTGGATTTCTCCATCTTCCCTCTGGCTGCACATTCCCTGACCACAGAAAGGACTTGTTCTTTGCCTTCGTGTGCTTTGCAATGGAGCACCGTTTCTGGTACGTTGCAGGTGTTAAAATGGCTTGTTGAATAACGTTCTCATGAAGTAACATTTAAGCATGCAAGTTAAATGAACTCTGAGGAAATGAAAGACTCTTGTCAAAGTCACCAAGTAGTGAATCGCACTCACTAATCTGCCTCCAGAATCAAACTCCTGTGGAAAACTACTTAAACAGTGTTAATCAACTCCTACTACCGTTTCCCCGGAAACAAGACAGTGTCTTACATTAATTTTTTTTCTTCCAAAGTTGCGCTAGGTCTTATTTTCAGAGGATGTCTTATTTTCGGGGAAACACAGGTAGTTTTCAGAAAAGCACTACTTGAGATCCATCTTCAATGTCTTCCACTTACTGGTCTGCAGTGTTTCTATCACTGTTTGCATTAAATAGAGTACCTTAGAATTCCTCGAAAACTTTCCATTTTAGACTTTCACTTTTAACAGTCCAAGACCCTCCTATATTTGTCATTTTCACTGTAACCAATGTTTTGCTATTTTTAAATCCTTAGGCATATGAGTGTTTTCTCTCCCTTGTCAATAGGTTGGCAGTGGCTTATCTTTAAAGGATCCGGAGTTTCTTTTCCTGTATCCATAAGTGAAATTGCTCAATGCCAGAGGCAGGGATTTTAATTGATGATTAAAATCATGTGGGTCATGTGGTCAAACCCACTAAAAACGTGTCCAAACAATACATCCACTCACTCTTCTTCTCTTATTTATTAATGTTCCAAAAATGTATTAAAATGTTTAATACTTTAAGGATGTGAATTTTCCACTGTGAACTAAGTAAGTTCACAACTTTAGAAATATTGTAATTCAGTTTCATCACCATTGTTCTCTAAATATTCCACTCACTGTATCTGGTTCTCTTCTTTGTTCAAAGAGTAACTGGCTTATTGTTTACATTTAAATATAAAGGTGAAATTTCCTTGTTTTCAGCCATCAGGGGGATCTGAATTTCTTAAGTAGAAGCTAAATACATCAATGCAGAATATGATTTAAAGAAAGGGAACCCCAAGTTGGTAAATCCTAAAATAAGAAACTGAATTAAAAATGACTTTTTTTTATCTGTCAGCAACTAAAACCACTCCTGCATTTTCTGCCCACTTTCTGTGTGTTTTGCATTATAGATTCCAATGTTCCAATGTTTACTGTGTAAACTTTGGGGGAGCTCGACCTTCACTGCAGACTGAGCCTCCACGAGTCAGGTGACCTCCCTCCCCGAACCCTTTCTTTCCTCGGTTCAGCGGCTCCTGCTCTCGTGGCACGTGCCCTCCGGTCGGCATCTTCGGGAGCAGGTTCGCTCCGGCTGAGGAGTCCTTCCCCCCAGGCCTGCACGTCCCTCCAGGAAGCAGATAAGCTGTGGGGGCTTCAGCCTGACTGACTTTTTTCTTTCTTTCAATAGGTGGACCTATTCTATGTGTAATTTTATTGTGACATATTTTTACGATGAGTTTCATAATCACACTTGATGTTTTATTAGTGTTTTAATGCTATGTAGCTCATTTTCTATACTAGTAACTTGGTATTTTCTTTACATTTTACCTCTGTTGTAATATTAATGCCAATATTTAATTATACTACTGAAACTTTTGATATATTTCAATATTACTTAAAATTGTGTTTCTCAATACATCAATTCCAGAAAATTAACTATTTCTACTCATTCTCATTCATGAAAAAAAGAATACTTTTACAAATATAAGAATTTTATAATTCCTTCTATCTCTATCTCAATCCATGGTATTTATTGATCTACACTTAAAATTATCTCATTCTCTATTTAGGTTGCATATTGTAACTTTGTCACCAAAGCATTTACATTTTGTTTTGAAAGTAAGTTATTTAAGAGAAGCTTTCTAACTATGATTCAAAATCCATAGGCAATCTTTAAAAACATTGATAAACTCGTATAAATGGTAACTTTCATGTGCAAAAGGAAGGAATATAAGGAAATACACATGCATCTGCTCATCTGTGCAAAGAGGTGTTTTATTTTATTTTATGGGGGTATTAGCTTACATTGCAGAAGTATGTCAACATCTGTTGCAAGCAATATGGCAGATTAGATCATTTGACACTCTTGAAAAAAACAACTTTAAAATTATGTGAAGGTGGGTGTAGTATCATTTGCAAATCCTTTAAAACGCAGTGCTGGGCTGAGGACCAGGAGGACCCACAAACATTGAGAAGGGAGTGCAGACGGGGATTCTGGGTAAGCCAACCCCAAACTGGGAAGCAGCGACCCAAGCCTGGACATTGCGACGTTCCCTCGGGAAAGCCGCCTGGTGACCCGGAGGAAGAGAAGCCGGGGTCCCTCCAGGGAAAGCTCGGGGAGACCTGGGGGGCCGCCCCGCTGAGCCTGAAGGCAAACACACTGGCAGCCGCAAGGGCACCGGAGCCTTGTGCACTTACTGCCGGAGTGAGAACCAACTCTCCTCTGAGAAACTAGCTGTGCGCCCCACGGTTGGGACCAGAATATCAACCACTTGTAGGCCGAAAACAACTCAATTAGATAATTAGGTTAATGGTCTTGGATCGGCCACACCTTCCGCAAGTGATAGTCAGAAACAAATGCACAACCTATCTCTAGGAAAGAAACTGCAGCATGAGCTTAAAGGATACCCACTGTAGCCAACTGTTTGGCTCAGTGGATAGAGCATGGCCTGTTTACTGGGTCTCAGTTTCGATTCCAACCAAGGCCATGTACCTTGGTTGTGGGCTTGATCCCCCAATAGGAGGTAGCTGATTGATCTTTTTCTCTCATTGATGTTTCTAACTCTCTATCCCTCTCCCTTCCTCTCTGAAAAAATCAATAAAAGTATATTTCTAAAAAAAATACTCATTGTAAAAGACCCAAGAAATAATATGATTCACAATTGAAAAATGGAAAACATGAAACACATAAAGAAATAAGTCACCCTCTATGAAAGATGGAAGAAATGAAAGGAAGGAAACTAAATTCAGAAAGAATACAAAGAAGATATAATTCATCTATTTCAATAAATAAAAGATAAGTCTAGGGGATTAAACGCTGTAATGAAGGACTGAGACAAATGGAACATAACCAAAAAGTAACTGTCTTCTAGCAATCTACAGAGAGATGATATATACCAGCCTGGACCCTTTATCCAGCCAAAGCATTTGTAGAGAGCGTGGTGACAGACATGTTCAGACAGGCAAACACTGGCTCCCGTCACAGGTTCTTGCTCAGGGAAATCCCCGGCCCAGAGGACGGACTCCAGATGGAGCAGAGAAGCAAGAAGGGAGAACGAAGGGCAGCCGCGGACACAGCTGAGGGTACACTCGGAGTGTCAGGTCTCCCACCCACAGACACCAAGGCCTCGCCCCCACGTCGATTACACAAACGAGAAAATAGTCAACAGAATACAGCACCCTCCCTAAGGCTCCCCTCCCAGATCAGCCCTCTGCTCCACAAAGCTTATGTTCTAGGCCAGTGGTCAGAAAATTCTTTAGTCCACAAAGCAAATATCAACAGGTGGACTCCCTTCCACCCTGAGCTCATATGCCCGGCAGTAAATAAGAATAAATGCAATCATACCAGAATTTTCTAAAAGAAATTGTTACTTTTTAATAAAAATCCCAAAATGTAGAAGGAACTTTTTAGAATGAACAGAGAACAGTGAGATCCATTTGTTACCTTAGTATCTTAGCCACCTTCAAGTCCCACCAGCACGGGACAGGTAGAGCAGGTGGAGGCAGAGGGATGCCTGGATAAGGCCCCTTCATAAGCACTCTGGTGGCTGACTGTATGAACCCACCAAAGGAGATGCTGGGGGAATACCGAAATGGCTGAGAAAAGGTCCCTAAAGACCTTCCTGTCCCGTAACAGTGAGAACACAGGGCTGGGGAGGTGCGGGGTCCCCTACGAGTTAGGGAATCCAGCCAGTCGGCACTGCCTGCACCTCACTTTCCGGCCTGCCCTGCTGTATACTCAGGAGACCACAACAAACCCTCAGCGCACTGCGTCTCCACTCCCATCCCCATTTACACACACGAACAGCCCAGGACCTGAGTATCACGCTGCAAAAACACGTGCCAAATCTCAAACCACAACGCCAGACGCACCACAGGAGCTTGCCAAACCAATTTATAACGGAGATGCAATATTTAAGCTCTGAGTGTAAGAACATCCTTCTAAAACGCGTACGTGTGTTTAATGCCGCAATGACACTGAGAGGCCGGGAACTGGACACGTGAGACTCTGCACGCCGCCAGGTAAACCAGCGACACGGCCAGTCCGCCCCCGGAGGAAGGCAGAGCAGCCACGCCAAGGCCGCCCTGGGAGGGCCGAACCAGGGCCATGCAGCTCAGGGAGTCACTTCCGAGAAACTCCCTCCCAAAACACTGAGTTGTCTTCAACAATCTAAAAGTTACATTTTATTTTATTTCTTAAAAAAGGTTCTTTACTGACTTTTAGATGAGAGGGAAAGAAAGAGAAACATCAATGTGAGCGGGGAGCACCAACTGGCTGCCTCCTGAATTCCCGAGCCCACCACCAAGCAGGGGCCCTGCCGACATCTCCAGCAGCCTTCCAGTGCAGGGGCTCCGCCCCACCTGCTGAGCCGCACCGGCCGGGCAGAGCCGCCTCAGGTTTAACAAAGCTGACCTTCTGCTCTCACTTTGCTCTGCTGCAGACGGTGTGTAAAGGGCTGCCCGCAGGGTGAAATAGCTTCTTCACAAAACCATAATCTAGAAATGTCATCTGTAAGGTAGACCACCACGCACCACAACCCAAGCAATCGGTAAATTGTAAGACTTTACCCCTCACTGTGCCATGTTGGTAAAATTCTCGGCTGGTAACACCACATATAGAAACAAACAGTAAGGTGAACTTAAAGCACTTCATTCCAATATGTCTATTACGATGTTAACGTAACAGTTTACTTTCTAAAACGCTTATGACATTTTCTTAACTAGGGCGCCAAAATCTAAATGTAGATACTTACATTATTGCACTCGCCAAGGAAATACAGTGCAAATCCATCCGCTTTTGTGGCTGCCAAGGCAATGAGAGAGGAAGAGACTGATGGGAACAGAAGACACAGCACGGGAGCCCTCGAGGCCAGGCCTCGGCACCGAGACGGTCAGTGGGTCTCTAACAGTCGCCAGGCGTGCGGCAAACTGGACGCAATGGCCTGTGGCTTTACCCATTTACACACGTAGAGCGTTTTCATTTACTTTCATCAGCCGTGGCCACGTTTAGGGTGTGACATCCTCAACTCACAGAGCAGGCAGGGTACTATGTAATAACGTACTTGGCAAACTTAAAAATCAGAATTATTGAAAAAAATATTTTTACAATCTGAGAGTTGTATTTAATTCTCAAAGTATTAAAAATACTAGAATTGATTTTCAGAATATTGAATAATCAATAGAAGCATCAGCCAAAAAGAATTCTGCTCGCATCTGCACATCGTCACTGAAGAGAGCATGCTGAACTTCGCTAGCATGCTTCGGGGTGGGCTGGCAGCAGCTCCCCCAGCAGAGAGTACGGCTCAGCGCAACGCCCGAATCTCACTCTTTCCTGCAGTGTGGCCTGTCCCTACCGCAGCTTTCTCATCAGCCGGATGGTCATAATAGTACATAAAGCTGTCACCTGCCCAAATAAATTTAAAATGCTGCTTTTCCCCTAAAATTAGTGATTTCTTGTATAAATGTGACTTGGTCCAATAAAACTATCCAAAGGAAGCCAGGTTTGAATGAGAAGGCCTAGTACACTCCATTTAAACTTCAGGCAGATGCTGTTTTTGGGGATTCTGAGAGTTTCAGAATAAAACGTTTTCACTTCCAACGTTAGCCCAAGAACAGAAGGAAGCACATGGCGCCCCCTGCCTCTCCGTGAGCACATGGTGGCGCCCTTCTCTGCCAGGCAGCAGCGAGCCAGCCGTCCTCCATGCGAGCCGCGCGGTGGTCTCACCTGTTCTGATGATGCTGCTCAGCTCGTACAGCAGCAGCTGGTTGTCCCCGCCCGTGTCCAGCCGCTGCTCGATGTAGCTGTTCAGTTCATACACGACTCCCTGCATGTTCGTATCTTGGTACTTCAATAAAAACATAAACGGCACAATTAAATATAATAAAATTCCTTCCTTCATAAAACACACCCAACTGTATTACTTTATATACTTTTACACAGCATGGTTTAATATATTCTACGATAAAACAGGGGACAAAGTAAAACTGCTATGAGCTACTTAGAGTTAGCACAGACCCCATGCATGCCTATTTATATCAAATATCGCAGCTGTTTCTCAGGTTTTACGTATAATGCTGCCGGCACCTTCATCAGTGAAAACGGTCCAAATGCGCCAGTGAGTGAAGCATCAAGAGAGGCCAAGCTCCTGCACCCCCGAGAGCGTCGCCGTCCACCGCTGCATCCCTGTGGCTGCCACCTAGCCCGCCGCTCTCCACCACCTCCACGCCCGCGGAGTCCAGGGCCGCCCTGGGCTCCATCCAGGGACCAGGGACACGGCAGGCAGGTGGGGCTGGGAGAGGTGGCAGCGGAACCTGTGCTGCCCCAGCACAAGCCATGCCGGGGCCTCTGTAAAACCACTGAGAAGCAGGCTCCTACCGGCAGCTCCCTGCGCTCCAGCTCGCCCCCTAGGCCCCTTCTCCTCACACCAGCCAGGGAAGTTGGAAAATAAAAGGGAATTCTGTCACTGCTGCTCCCCTTGCACTCAGCTCTCCCATCCCTTATCCTCAGCCCGATCCTTCAGCTCGCAGAGCCCTGAGGAAGCACACAAAAGGCGCCTTTCCCATCCGGTGGAGGCAGAGCGAGGCCCCCGCACTTACCCGGCTGACTTCCTTAGGCACCGGCTCGTCTGGGGAGGGAGAAGGAGGGAAACACAATTAGAACGCACTCGGTGCAGGGTCTGGAACACGCAACATGTCTTTCAATAAACAGAAGGCTTCGCTGCAATGCTTCCTTGTATGAAATCTAGAACCTGGATTGTAAAACCTTTAAATAAGTGTTAAACACACAACTTTAGAGCTAGATGGGCATGTGAATTTTGGAGGGACCTGAAATGACCCGACTTGCTTGTCATTTCACAGTTACCTATAAATGGCTGTACCTGCAAACATGCTACACTGTGGCTTGTTCACATATGTGCACGGAAAAGGGTGTGTAACTGGGACAGGCACCCGTGTGGAAGAGAGATCTCCCTGCAGGGCTGGCTACATGGCAAGAACATACTGTGTGACCAACAGGACACAAGAAACAGCTGGCCCAGACCACTGAAGCCCCGGTTCTGAGTGGCCAGCCCGGGCCCAGCTCCCACACTAAGGCAGTGTGCGTGCGGCCTGTCCAGGCCCGCAAGGAGGCAGCCTCTTGTTCCCCCTGCGGCTGTCCAGGCTGGGAGCCATCAGGAACGAGCCAGAATGCCCACTTCCACTCACCACAGAGCACAGTTCTAGGCAGAGGAATTAGGCAAGAAAATAAGACATCAAATTTGAAAGAAGTAGTAAATTGATCTGTTTGTAGGTGATATGATCTCATAGGTAAAAACCTGAATATTTCACACACACACACACACACACACACACACAAAAAAAAACACACTTAGAATTCAACAAAGTAGCAAGATAAAAAAGCAAGCACACAAAAATTAGTTGCATTTCTGTACACTAACAATAAACAATTCAAAAAAGAAACTAAAAAAAAAAATCCATTTACAGTAGCTTCAAAAATAATACAATACTTAGGAATTAACCGAAGAGATGAAAGACTTGTACAATAAAATCTACAGAACATTGGTGAAGAGGTAAAGGAAGCATACTGAAAGCACAGCCCACAGTCATGGGTAGGAGGCAACATTGTAATGGTTCATAAGCATAGCTATCATTTCCCCAGAAAAATCCACAGGGAGCCTTTAGCGATTAACAACAGTATTTAAAGTCATCATGACAGCCCTGACTGGTCTGGCTCAGTGGGCAGAACGCCGGCCTGCAGACTGAAGGATCCTGGTTCAATTCTGGTCAAGGGCATGTACCTTGGTTTCGGGCACATCCTCAGTGGGGGGTGTATGGGAGGCAGCTGATTGATATTTCTCTCTCATCGATGTTTTAACTATCTCTCTCCCTTCCTCTCCGTAAAAATCAATAAAATATATTTTAAAATTAAAATAATCTTGATAATACAGTATTTCTCTTTAAATTACATACATAATTAGTCCCTTTACCATGTTCAACAGCAACAAGGCCAAAGCAGAATAAATTTACAGCTACCTTTAGGTAACAAAGAACGGCTCATTTTCTGTGGTAAGCCACAAATAAATTAGTCTAAAGACCATAATTTCCAATTAGTATAAAGGCTATATTTTAACATAATATGCTAAGAAATATCGAATACAACCTTATCTTGCTATCAACCCTGTGTCAAAATTAATCTAGTAGACATGAATGCTTTTAAATTATTTATTCACTCATTCAATCTTTTATCCATTAAGTGAGATTTAATGTGGCCCATATGTCAAACACGGCAGAAGACATTAGAGACTCAGCCGATGCATGGAGAGCTCTTACTAAAAGGGATTCAATGATTCCTTCTTAAAATTTAAAAACTAGTTCACAAAGTATCTATGAAATGGAAGCAAAGTAGGGATGTATGAGATAGGGGCACTTTTCACACGTGTTAACACAAGTCTCAGACAGACTCAGAAGACTCGCACAACTCTATCAGAGTGAAATTCAAATCACACCAGAGACAAAAACGTGAGATAAGTGGTCAACATGTAAAAACACTCCAGTAAAAGCAATTAGCGCCAGCATTTCTCATTGTGGGGCGTTACTTAAGACAGCACGAATGTCACTCGGAATTCTCCGGAGCGGGAAGTCACTGCACGTGCTTCAGCAGAGAAGTGGGTAACTCTCGCTCCACAGCGCCAGGGACACACCAGTGACACGCGCAGCCACATTCTGCTAAGGATTCAAAGGTAGGCGCACCGTGCCCACACTTCAACGCAGAGTTGTCCGGTCCCAAATAGTCTTACCCAATGTTATAATATTGCTAGAAAACACTGTCTTTTAAAAATCACGGCTTTATTCTATCCACAAATTATGGGAGCAAAGCAAATTATTAAGAGTAAATGGAGAGCACAAATAAAATGACAAAAATACTTCACTGGAATCAAATAAAAATATTTTCTTACTGAAGTGGTAAGGCTGGGAGAGGTAAGACATCACGGAGGTTCTATGAAATGTTTCCAGCAAAACTTTACTCCTCGACATTTCAGGAACGCGGGAGAGAAACCGTTTTTGCTTTGATTTTAAGGGACTGAGCTTCTGTGTTACTTGTACATCTGCAAGTACCTGGCCAGCATGGCTCAGTGGTTGAGCGTTGACCTATGAACCAGGAGGTGAAGGTTGGGTTCCTGGTCAGAGCACATGCTCAAGTTGTGGACTCGATCCCCAGTGTGGGGCATGCAAGAAGCAGCCAATCAATGATTCTCTCTCATCATTGATGCTTCTATCTCTCTCCCCTTCTCCCTTCCTCTCTGAAATACAAATAAAAATTTTTTAAAATGTCTACTTGCTATATATTTTCAAATACACAGTCAACAAATCTGAAGTAATCTTATTTTTTATTGTTTATCATCTGTCTTCCCTGTAAGAAAATGACCTTGAGGGTATCAAGTTTACATATTGCTTATTCAACAATCCCATACACGGGTGCTCAATAAATATCTGTTTGTTGACACACTGAAGAGCAATGAGGAGAACCTGGTCACATTCCTGCTCTAGTCACCACTCAGAGTTTAATGTTTCCAGAAATTATTATCCAACACTGATTAAATTATCCAGGCCAATGTTAAATCTCCAGGAAGCTTTTAAGGAATATATGATGAACTCATTGACTTTCAGTTCACATCAAGGCATTTGACACATCTTCTGGTTTTGTATTACACACAAACAAAAAAAAAAGATATGAAAGTTCTATTTAAGTGGAAGTGTAGTTTCAGTATCTTAGAGGTTTCTCAGAGAAAGGAAAGAGAGCACACCAAATGAAGTTTCAAGTAAACCATTTCAACGACCTGTGTTTTCCTTACTTGTGATGTGTACTGACAAATCTCACTCCTTCCGAGCATGAAATATCTGAATGAACATTAAGTCTTATTAATAGAATGACTGATAGCAAGAAATATATAGTAGATAGAGTAAAAAAACAAAAAACAAGAAAAAAGAAACTTCATGTATTTTATGAAAAATATTCAAGGCAGCTGAAAACACCAGTATTTCTATTATTAATTATTTGACATTTATAAATACACCAATAGCTACATGGTCTGCTACTGAATAATCATAGAATTATAATAAAAAGTATTGGCCATAAAACACAGCATTACAGCTCATAATTTTTATTTTTTACTGCAGAACTTTTCTTTCTTTCCTTCTTCTTCTTCATTTTTTTTTTTTTTTTTTACAATATACAGAACAAACCAGTCTGTATGTGGTCTCCACTTCCAGTCCTCAGGTATCCGGGTTCTCTCCTGTGAGTTTTCCATTGACTGCTCAGGACGTTTCTCTGTATTCTAGTTGTAATACCAGTTTGTTCCTGGGTGCATGTCCCTGCAGCATCTGCTTACTCTGCCACCATTTTTAATCTCCGCTGCTCATAACTTTTAGATCATTTGAGTTCAATCAATCACCCTCTTGAGTATCAAAAGCAGAAACTTTCAAAACCAGAGTAAGGAGAATCAGCTCTGAGCAAAATGCTGGTAGCACCCTCCTCACAACACAGCATTTCAACAAGGATCCCTTTAACTTTAAATATAGCACTTTTGCTATACTAAACACATTTCCAGAAGGACAGTATTTATTTTAATATAAAAGGTCTTCGTTTATTTAAAATTAATTTCCACTCTGAAACAATATCTTAGAAATGAATATTTGGACAAATGCAATTCATATAAAACCAAAATTATATGACATTATTCAGATCCTACATATTAATATGTGCATTCAATCTGGCAGGAAATGAACTTCACATCCCTCCTGAGCCCACATTTCTTTTTTCATCAGAGCTGCTTCTTCCGGGGACAGATCTGAATGAAAATCTAATGCCAAGTCAACAGTTTTCCTACTGAGCACAGGTAAAAACTGCATGAAAACTTCTTTTGGCAAGATATATTAACATAAATATAGCTTTGCAATACAAAAAAAATTTTAGAGTCATTAATAATCATCATTAAACAAAACCAAGTCTAACACTGCATTTTTCAATGCGTTCACATCTAAATAAACTTTCAGGTAATACCTGTCAAGGTCTTTCTTTTTAGTCAAGGGTTTTTCTTTTCTGCCTAGTCTCCCTCACTCTAAAGTCAAGTTATCTCTTTAGACCACATGTGTCAAACACAAGGCCCGCGGGCCAAATCCATCCCACCAGGCCTTACAATGTGGCCCGCACCGCGCTGTCATCACTGCACTCCGCTGCGTTTCCATCACAATGACAGTTTATGACTGTTCAGTAAACCATTCGGCCCGCGATTTAGGCTGGATTTTAGATTTTGGCCCCTTCTCTGATTGAGTTCGACACCCCTACTTTAGACAGAATAAAATGATCATAAAGCTGTATGTCTACCCCGTGTATCCTTTCCAGCACATGTAAAATGCCTATCCTTTGTCACACAAAGTGGGAAATAACCCACATTCAGTCTGAATGAGATCTCACCTTCTGCTTTGTTATTCTTCCTCTTCAGCCATTTCTCTACCGTCTCCACACTAACACTTTCAGATACAAATTCATCTAATATCTCAGGGTGAAGAGAAAGATATGTCTTCACTTTTTCATCTGTCAAACCTGTAAAAGAATTGAAAAGAATAAAATTAACCCACATGACATCTTCACATACATAAAAGATGTAATAATACTGACTGATTTAAAACGTAGTAAATACAAGAAGAATACAAAGTGTGTGTGCATACAATGGAATAATACCCAGCATACAAAGGGACCATGTTCTGATACGTGTACCCCATGAAGGAGCCTTAAAAACAAGTCAATAAGCCAGTGAAGGGCAGACGTTCACCCTACATTTCCGTTCACACGATGTGCCTAAGGAAGCAGACGCACAGAGACTCGGCACTGAAGGGGGTCTGGTGCTTGGGCAGCGGAGGATGGGAAGTACAGCTTGATGGGTACCATTTCTACTTTGAGTGGAGGCACGCTCTGGAAGCAGACAGTGATGATGGCACCCTGTGAGTATGATAAATGCCCTCAATGGCACACTAAGAACGGCAAAAATGGCGATTTTCTGTTATAGATGTTACCACCATAAAAAACAGAACAAGTAAAGTTAGAGCCTCAGTGATCTAAACTACAGACATTACATCACGAAGCAGCTGTGTTCCGACGGCCCACAGCAACATTACACCGGAACAGGCTGTGTCCCAGCTGTGCAGCCACGCCCTAGAGTACAGAGTGCTCAGTTGTGGTGTGTCTGCAGCCATCCTGGGTTTAATACTCAGAGCAAAGGAAGCTCTAGTGACAGTCCAAACAGGAGAACGGACCACTGGCACACGTCAGGTCCCAGGCAAGTTTCATGAGTACGCTCTTATCAGTTATTGTTTACAACACAAATTCGCCCCTTGCCTGGGGCGCTAAATGTAGGTGCAGAGTCATCGTGAAATGTGTTCACAGAGATTCTACGTCCGTGGTCTGTTTCACCGAAATAACTTCCTCGTCTAATGATAGCTGCCCCTACTACACCCAGGCCTTTCAAAGCACTTTCACACGTTTCCATATGAATACATAAACCATGTTTTGCATTTGGTGCTTCCTGTTGCTGTGCCATTTGTGAACTCCAAATCCCAAACAGGTTACCCTCAATTATTACTAACGGTAGTTGTTTCCACTCTGTAGCCTCGCTGTAAATCAGTCAATAGAACTGCCCTCCTGAGGGATGGTTAGGTGAAAAAAGACAATAGATAGATTCTACTTTGTAAAGAAAAAAATAGTCTAACCAGTTTGGCTCAGTGGACAGAGCACTGGCCTGTGAACTGAAGGGTCCTGGGTTCAATTCTGGTCAAGGGCACATACCCAGGCTGTGGGCTCAATCCCCAGTTTGGGGCATGCAGGAGGCAGCTGGTCAATGATTCTCTCTCATCATTGATGTTTCTATCTCTCCCTCTCCCTTCCTCTCTGAAATCAAATAAAATATATTTTAAAAAATAAAAAAGTAAATCTGTCTGACCCCAGGGAACAGGCTCGGTGCTTCCCCACCAGACAGGCCAGGATTCATGGGTGTGATTCTCAGGGGACGAAGTCACGCCTCTGACGACCCTACAACAGGACAGTGTAACTGAGACGGCAGATGGTTTCTTCCAGTGAATTAGTACTTAGGCAACTTAAACAACAGATTTATAGAGGGCTAGAGATAAAGGTAGAGATACAGAAATACAGATTTATACAGAGATGGATATTGGTAATAGATTTTTTTAATGAGAACCTATGTTCACCCTACAAAAGAGCCCCATGCTGTAAAATCCTACTGAAGAAATCCTATAGGGGCTGTGCATAAGACTCATTAGAGAGAGCTCCCGAGGAGCAAGCTGCCCTCCCAGCCCAGGAGAAACAGGGTGCGAAGGGAGATGACCTCTGACCTGGCCTTCAGGCAGACAGACAATGCACAGCGCGTGCTCCTGAGCTTCTCCCCACCTCACAGCGGGAGCCGAGGCTTGGTTCCTGCTTCACGCTTCCGCCCCTCGTGGTGGCTCAGCTTCCCGGGTTCTTACCCTAACTGCCAATGGGGAGCCCTCTGCTTTCTGCAATAAGCGATGCTGACTCAGTGAGATCTAAACCAGGGTCTGAACGTATGCTTGATCTCTAGCCGTGGATGTCCTTCCACAACCACAAGCTCCCCTTGACGCAAACCTCAACGATCCTTGTCCTTCCTATTTCTTCCCTTTTCAGAAACCCAGATGGAAGATAAAAAGCCGTAATTGACTCATCCCTCCTTGTCATCTCATTTCATGTTAGGGCATTATTATTCAAGTCTTATTTGCCAAGTTACAAAATTACATATCTAACAAAATAAACAAAGAATTCTTAAAACTCAACAAGAAAAACGAACAAATTAAAAGTAAATCCAGTATCTAAACAGATCCTTCACCGAAGATGATACATGGATGGCAGATAAGCCTATGAAAAGATGCTCAACTGTCATCAATGAACCGGAAGTAAAGTAAGAACTGAGATCAAATTACATCCCTATGAGAATGGCTGTAACCAGTCACCGGGACCAGTTGGTGCTGAGGCTGTGACAAGGCCCCTCACTCACTGCTGGTGAGAATGCAGAGCAGTGGCCGCTGGGAAGCCTTCTCTGGCAACTTCTCCTCAAGCTCAGTATAGTCCCACCATGCAGTCCAGGGGACTCACCACAGGGACTCACCACAAAGGCTTATTTCTGAACAAAAGCCTGCATGTGACTGTGATAGCAGCTCTCCTTGTGACCCAAACAGCAAGCACCCAGGTCCTGTGCCATGTCCGTGGCATTAGATATGATTTAGCAATAAAAAGAGCAGCCTTGGAAAGAGATGTCGCTCTAAAATGCACAGCGCCGAGGGCAGTCTGAAAAGGCTGCGTACTATCAAACCCCAATCATACATACAACACCCTGGGGAAAGCAAAATGAGGGGGGAGGGGATGAGGAAGGGAGTATGAGCGCTGCTCAGGAGGGAGGGAGCCGAATGGGCGGAGCACGGGCAGGGGTGGGAGGGGCGAGGTGCAGCCTGCCAGCCGCAAGTTAAGGAAGTTCTGGAGACCGGATTCACATACAGCAGGGTGACGGGAATCAACACTGCTGCATTGTACAGTAAACTTGAAAGTCAACAGAGCAGATCTTCAAAGTTATCACAAAAGAGGCAGTTATGTGAGGGAAGGGGGTGTTAGCTAACCTTATTGGGGCCATCATTCTCAACACACATGTGCGTGAATCATCAAGTTGTACACCTTAAGCGTACCTATGAGTCAATCACTCCAATAAAACTGAAAAATGTGTTTGTCTTCTAATTATCCTCCATTCCTACCTAAACGAGTGTGTCTATGACCTCAACCCTTACTGAGCCCTGGCTGAACACCCTGCCAGGGTTCTCACCCACATCACTCCCATCCCACACGCCTCCAACATGCCCCACCACAGCCCGTCGACACCAGGCAAGAGGGCCCTCCCCTTGGCGCGGCCAGCCATGCCGGCTTCTGGAGCGGAGGAAGCCAGACAAACACACTGATGCCCTCACAAGAGCAGGAGAACCATCAGCACGGTTTGGAGTAGCGCTGCAGGAGTAAGCTTACATACCCAAAACCCGTCCTCCCAGGACCCAGCGGGAAGAGGCCGTGCAGCATAAAGAACTCCATACTCGCCCTAACTGGTTTGGCTCAGTAGATACAGCGTCGGCCTGCGGACTGAAGAGTTTGATTCCAATCAAGGGCATGTACCTTGGTTGCAGTCACATCCCCAGTAGGGGGTGTGCAGGAGGTAGCCGATTGATGTCTCTCTCTCATCGATGTTTCTAACTCTCTATCCCTCTCCCCTCCTCTCTGTAAAAAATAAAAATAAAAAATTTTAAGAAAATTTCTCATACTCTCATACTCTCAGCACTCTGCCTGGCACCCAGGTCCCCAGAGGAGACCGCTACCCTGGTCCCCGGATTGGAGGTCACAGAATCTGTGTTCTCTGAGGGTGTCACTGCACACTCCTGGCCGCCTGCTCTCACACGCCCCGGAAAGGCCAGGCCAATGCTTGCAGGGTTACCAAACATGTGAAGACCCCGGGCCCAAGGGCCCACCCAAAACGGTCCCCACAGTCTGAAGAGCTGCCCTGGAGGCGGAGGCAGAGGCAGAGGCAGTGGCGTGGAGATGGGGAAGAGAAGGAAAGGAGCAAGCAGAGGCAGCAGGTCTCCAAAGAAGCTAGAGGCTTTGGCAGAGAAGACAGCGGGCTCTCCTTGGATGATGGTGCCCTGGTCAGAGTTACAGATGTGGATTAAAAGCACAAGGACTGAGTAATTACTGACTTTGAAACATGCAGATAGAATCAATATGTTATTAACACAAACCAGCTGGTAACCATAACCAAAGACTAACGTCAAACTGCCACCTGAAGGCGAATGTGATGTCTCCAATGTTGGACAACAGGCAGACAAGCCTGACCCTGAGCACAGCCTGCGCGGCAGCCCGCAGACAGTGAACCTGGGCAAGCCCAGCTGCCGAAGACCAAGCACAACCTACAGGTAAAGGAGCAGCAACAGAGAGAATGTCATCTACCATGCTATGCTGAGATTTTCAGGAAGCGTTTAATAAAATGTCAAAAACAAAACAAAAAAAAAAACACTAACTAATGATAGCACCACAGAAATAAGCCTTTCATAGCAAACAATATTTTAAGAAAGCTTTAAAATAGAAAGAATATAGGTTTCATGTGATACATTTTAATCTAGTGAAATAAAAAGAAGATAAAAATGGAGAAAAGAGAGGCACAAAAGTAGGGGGATAATAATATATAGGCAGACTTTGAATTCATAATCTCAGTGGTTTAAAACGTGGATTTAGATAAGACAAGCAGAATAACAATTGTAATTTTTAATGGTGATTTTTAAGTATTTCCATCAGTATTTTCATTCATCTAAGTGTAAAGGAATTATACCCTAAAGGTGAATATATGCAAATCCCGTATGTTGGCAATTTCTAGGAACCACTTCTTTTTATTGCTTTTTCAATGAGATTTTTAAAAACCATAATATTCATAAAGAAATTTGAAACAAAGAAAATAAAAAATAGAGTTTACTCAAAAAAATGTAAAAGGC